TACCTGTTTTACATACAAAGTGTGGACATTCCTTTGTTCTCCTGTGGTTAATGAAACTTGAGGAAAGTGCTCCTTTTTCTCCAACTGGGATAACTCCTTCGAGCTGGCTTTTTGTTGATGATTTCCTGGACTGTTCCTCTTCATTTTGCCAGGGATAACCTTGACCCCAAATTGCCTCTGAAACTGTTTTTCAGAGAGGGAGAAACATTGTGTGGACGTGTGGGAGTCCACACAACACCATCACACCCTACATAATGTGGACTTCTTTTGTGCAGAGGTCCACACTATGTATGCCACGCCTGCACACACACACAAGGCAGTGCTTCAGCAGTTATGTTTACCTTTGAGCTAAGCCAGTCTGACTCTGGGGGAAGATGGAATTGTGCAGTGCCCAGGGCAAATAGTACAGTGTTAAACCCACCGAGGACATTGTCCTCACATGCATATTTTATACAGGTAGGGTCTGCAGTCATTTCCCTATGTAATTTTTTTATCACCCAGTCGTCATGCACTGCCTTCCATCTTATCCGCTCCGCGCGGAACAAAAGAGGGCGTGTTTTTCTTGGTACTCACCGCATAGGGACGCCATGAGGTGCGCAAGTATATGCGTGTTTGACGCAGAGAGTGCTGAGTACGCGTAACAAATTTATTCTGCCATGTATGGTCTTTGCGTGCAAGAACCCACTTGTAACCACTTGTCGGTTTTTTGCCGATTAGGGATACTCTTCAGATCGGGGTGGATACTGAAGTTAGGAGGGAGTATGCGAAATTGTATCAAGTTGAACTCTCCATTAAAAATACAAACCTCCCACTCTGTCTCCCCTCAGGATAACGAATGATGCCCGTGAGGATGAAATGGATGAGAACCTTCAACAGGTGAGCGGCATCGTGGGAAACCTGCGCCACATGGCCATTGACATGCAGAGCGAGATTGAATCTCAGAACCGCCAGGTGGACCGCATCATTGACAAGGTAGGGGTGGCGCTTCTGTCATGGAATAGCGCATTTCAGTTCAGCTTCCTCTGTGCATTTTATGCCCCCTTTTTTCTTTTTAAAGTAAGTTTCAACTCTCACCTTTTTGGGGGGGGGGCTCTTTTTTATTTGAGAAAGCATTTTTTTACCCAGATGCCCATGAGCTGTGGGTGAATGTTGCAGGGGCTGAATTACAGGGTTTTTTTGTTTATGGGGACCAAAAAGAAAAATCCTGTGGCCACTCAAACTGCAGTAAATTCTTTAAAAATGTTGAAAAGATTTGACAAATTACAATTGTCAGTTTCACTGAATGTTTCATGGCGAATGTGATGACCAACCATTTTATTACTGTATCACTGACCATTCCGATGTTGCTTATGAATTTTTTTGTCATGAAGAGCACCCAGTGAAATGACCGTCTTGTGATTTTGGTGTTAGACGTAGTCAGTGTTGCATGGTCTGTGTTTATATTCCATCCTGTATTGTGTTACCATCATTGTTTCCGTCTGTTTGTTGACAATGTTAAAAAAAACCAAACAGGTGAGTTCTCATCTTTGCAGATGTGTGTAATTGTGGACTGGAAGATATTTTCTTCTAACAAGAATACATTTGCATTTGATGCATTACATCACTTGATGCAGATATGCCCTCGTTTTCTGTTGAAAGCAAAACCTAACGTCAACTAAGCTTCCTGAAAGGAATAAAAGAGTATCCCCAGCAGTGTGTAATAATTTGATGTCGCATTGAAACAAGGTCAATTTCAATCTCTGACTTCAAAACAGAGCACAAAAAAATAAATTGTTGGTTCTGCGTGTAAATAATTTTAGCATTAGATATTTTGAGGAAGCATTATTGGTTGGGTTGTTTGCTTGTAGTTTATTTCAAACTCTATTTCTCCTTGTTATGTACTGTCCCGCAAACTTAGTAGCCAGATCTTAAAAACAGCTTTGCAGCGCATTGCCAAGATAATATTTTGTGCAAACATCTGTCATGCTATTGTACGATGGAATTAAATGAAATTGCCTGAAAGCTGTTATTGATTACCTCGAATGAATCATAGTATCTGTCGGGGTGCTTAAGTTGTACTTCAGGGGGAAAAAAAAATCCATCTTAGCAAGGCAAGAAGGAATTCATGTTTAAGGACTGGGGAGCACGTTTGCAGCCAGAGCAGAGCAGGGAGACAGCAAAGAAGCTGTCACCAAGGAGATGAGAAGTCTTGAAGTGATCCCAGAGGGCACTTGGTGAATCAGCTCATCTTGACCGCAGAGGGCTGCAGTGTTGAAGGGTGGGGAGCGAGGGAGAGACTTTTACCCCTGAGAAACACTTCCCCCCCCCCTCGGGCGATGCTGTCACTGGAAGCTCCATGACTGAACTTGTGCAGAAAGGGCTGGGGGCACTGAAACCTGTTGTGTCGGTCTATCTGGATGAATACCGGTGAAATTTTATAAGTTGCCTTGATGCCTGAGACATAGAGCTTATGGGAAAAGAAAAAAACAAAACATAACAGTGTTTTCCTGTGTCAGAGACTGAAGTCGCTGAATCACAAATTTCTCCTCCCATGCATTCCAGCTCATTAACAAAGGGACGTTAATAACTTTGTCCCATTGAAATGTAGTGGGGAAAAAAATTAACAAGACTGGCTTCTGAGTTTGGTTGTGCCTTCTTCCCTCGTTAGTGGCATAGTAGTGAAACATGTACTGCATGACTGGAATTGGCAGAATGAAGTGATGTTGTATTGCATAGTGCTACAGTACAGTGTTTAGATGGAATGCGTTGATATTGTAATATTGTGAAGTTATTCTCAATTTTTGGTGTTTCTGGTAACTATTCTGTATTCCCATTCTTATAGCATTGTTTGAAGCTATGTCATATTCTTACTAGTTTCACTTAATGTATCAAGTGATACATGTATATGTGCGTTACTCATCCCATTAGCAACTTGATGACTTCCCTTGAGCCATTTCATGTACTAAATATCTCATATTTTGGCTTTTTTTTATCTTTCACTGTTTTGTTTCTCCATTCCACCCTTTTATCCACAATCCATGAAAAATCCTTTGCTCTGGCCCAATAATTTATCTTGAAAACTGCTTGGTGAATTTTTCATCCACATTTTGACTATCAAAATGACATCTCATTTCTGACTGTAAACAAAATAACCTCCAACAACATTTCTCTGTCTCTCAAATGTACCACCCTCTCTTCTGGTGCACACTATTGCCCTTGACCTTCAACCTGTAACCTCTACTCACACCCTGCATACCTCTGTCTAGGGCACATCCAATGTTGATCGTCTTTCTGCTGCTAATGAGCGTGCCAGTAAGCTGCTCAAGTGAACGAGCCCTCACTCAAGCCTCATCTCAAACAAAGAAAAAGCGCAACGCTGTTGGGCTTTTTTCCCTCCATCACCAGCACATGCTTTCATCAATGCATGGAATCATCTTCATCTGCCAGGTTTTTTTTTCTTGCTGCTCTTTAAAAATGTTAATATCTTTCCTCTCATTCTTAACAGTGTGAATAGAAGTTAATGATAACCAATTTTAAGACACTGGTATACAATGTACAATTCATTAGTACTGTATGTACATGTAAGTGATTAGTCATTAGGATCAATTTTGGGTGCAAAGATGGGCCAGCTGCAGTGTTGTCCCCGTTTTTGGTATAATTTCGGCCACCATAGCTACCCCCAAAGACCAGTGCATTCACTACCATGGCTGTTACCTGGTCGTTGTGGCCCTAGTTGTGCAGCCTATTCAGTAACATTTAAGGTTGACCACATTTTACTCCTGCATGCAGTGCTTATTCTGCAGCATGTGGCCGCTTTTTGCATTCGGAATCTCAATAGTGAAAGAACAAAGAAAGTGCAAAGCGGCTGCTGCCGTTCTGGACCTCTTGGCCATTTCAGTGGTATCTGTTGTTACATGGTATCAAAGACGTTCAAGAAGGATGTTCATGGTTGCTCCATGTTGGAAAGGGAAGTCAAGTTTTCACATGCAATCCATCTACAGGTATCCTTGTTTGTAGAAAAGATAATGTAAGGATTTCTGCAATTTTTCAAGCTCTTTTGTTTTTAATTGCAAAACATTTCATTTACCTCGTTCTTGCCAAAGGCAATCGGGTAATTAACTATCATCAATCAGTATCTAAATACATACACCTGATTCAAATGACATCGAATAATCAGAGACAGTATTCTAAAAGAAGCAGTAATGTACAGAGGGATTGCACTCCATGTTTTTTCAATAACTCCTTGTTACTGAGTACCAACTGCAAGGGGTCTATTGTTGGAAAGTGTGACATTTCTGAGAAGTTTTATCATGTTGTAATTTCATGTATAAATCATGTTTCAGTACACAGATCTCTCAAAGGCAAATCCCTGATGTATTTTTTTTATCTGAAATGCCAGTTTTCTAAACAGTTTTAGTTCAGTGCTTACATTTTGTTTAACTTGAAGCTAGATAAAAAAAAAAACCAACAGCATTATGACAATAAGGACAAGCTACAGATTAATGTGAATGAATGAATCATTGATATCAGGCTACAGATTAATGTGAATGAATCATTGATATCAGGTCTGGATGGGGGAAGAGTGGGAAATATACATGTTGGCAAGAAGACTGTCAAAATTTGGAAGTTGCAGCATGCTTTGTGGTCATTCTCTGTTTACTGAGACAAACAAGTTGGGGTCACGGTTTTGTAGGCAAGTTGAACTGGAATTTCTTTCCACCTCAATCCCCTCATCTTTTGGACCTATACATTTTCTCTTTCATCCTGTAAATGTAAAGTTCCTCTGAGTTTCACAACTGGTAATTGCATGTTGTAAGCAGACTGAACAGCCAATAAGGAAGAGTTTTGGTATGACCCAACCAAAACTCTGGCCACAAATTTTGTGGCCAAAATTCAGGTCATACTTTGGCTAAAATGTGCATGTTTCTGTCGTTCAAAGTTGCAGAACTTGTCCCTCTGTGGCTGTTCTCTTTGTTTACCTTTGTGGGTAGCATGTGGGAGGCACAGCTGTTCTGGGAAACTCTTGCTTGCGAATGAAATTTCCAGACCATGGTTGGTGATGTGGTGCTTGGTGTGGTGGTGTACGAGGTTGTTTTGTTCAATCAAACAGTTTGGTATTATCATCCAAGAGGAGTCGCAAATCACTTCTCACCGTGATGAAATGCACTATGGGGTTTCTCAAAATTTACACTAAACATTGCATGGTAACCACATCTCTGGATTTGTTTTTCTTTAACTTAATACCCATTCTTTTTTCTAGATTTTGGTTTCTCATTTAGAATAGGTGAACACCTTCATTCGCAAAAACAATCCACAGTTAATGTTTCATTTGAGCTTTGATGCCTATGGTGAATAGTACGGTGAATTTCGTAATTCAGAATGCAGATTCCTCAAGAATCAATCATCCCTTTGCTTTCCAAAGGGGGAGAGGGGGGCTGTAAAATCACTCAAACCAATCACAGCTGTGTCCTATCAAATGACACCTTGTTTAGATGTATTTCCTGTGAGAGATTTCGGGTAAGCCTGATTGATAGTTCCCATTCATTCACCTGCCAGATTATTTCTGGTGACTTAAATCTTTATTAAGTTTGTCTCAGGACATGGATACATTTGTAGTATTTATGCATCCTTTTAGTAGTAAAAATTATTTTGCCAATTGTTTTGCTGCAATCACCCTTTGCTTCCATTTAAAAGAAGCAAAACAAAATAAAAGCAATAAAACCAAAAACTCAAAAAGGAGGTGATAACCATGATCATTTGGTTTTGGGCAACAAACAGAAACGAGGATTTGATCCTTTTGAAAGTAGTTGACATAGTGCAGTGCAGATTTTAAACCCAAGGCCCTCTTAGAGTTTGACTGCAAACTGGCAAAGAAGAACTCCAGAACTACGGTTATTTCATACAAACACAAACTAGGACAGTGCCAATTTTTGTTGTCGGTTGTCACAAGACTTGCTACCGTAAACGATCCAGTGTTTGTGTCAAATGGCATGAGCTCACTAAATAACGACACTGAAGTTACATTCCCAATCGTTGCTGCACCTCATCTGTGTCGTCAAGCACACTAATGCCTGTTGGTATTCATGTCCTTCAGTCAGTAGAGATATGCAGCATGCTGAGAGTGTATGAATGAAAAAAATGAGAGAAACTGTGGATTGCATAATATACATTTCAAGTTAAACCCACATAGCCACAATTAATATAGCTCCTCGTCATGCAAGAGCAAGTATCCCCTTTTGTGCTTGTTGATTAGAGCGTATTGCCTAATCCTCATCATAACTTTCTCTTTTCTCCCATAACCCCTCCACACTGCTAACCAACACCTCCCACTCTCCTCTTCTTTTGTTTTTTTTCATTTTTGTTCTGTTTTGCCATGGTCCCCGTCCATCCTCACCAACCCACAGGCTGGCAGCAACAAAGATCGCATTGGGATTGCTAACAAACGGGCCGAGACCATTCTGAAAAAGTGATGCGCTTCAGAGCAAAGTGCCCCCCCATCCCTGCGCCTGTGTGTGTGTGTTCGTGTCAACCTGCCTGTCTGCCTTCCTGCCTGCAAAGTCGAACAAATAAAAGTCACCCCCTGTGCACTTTGTTACCTTTTTGATCCCCTCTCCCTTTGGGTGGTTTGTTTTTGATCACTTCACCCCACTGGTTGATTGCCGGGTGATACCACCATCTTGGGGTGTACAGGGGTGCCTGTCGGATCTCCTTATCCCACTGACAACATTGCAAATCTTTATTAACCCCCTTCCCCCCAAAGAAGATCCCTCGGAAGTGCCGATTGTATCACAGTTTTTGTCTCATCCTTTATGCGTGCTTGACACTGAAGTGAACTTACACAGGAATGGGATGATGAAATCCAACTGTATTTAAGTGCTGGATAACTTCTGGCTGAGATTCAATGAACACATGAAATTCACGATGCTTTATTCTTCTAGATAGAAAAAAAAATTGACTCCAAAAAGTAACTTTTCATTGTTCACTCACCTGAAATAGTGTGGAATATATTTAATGTGAATGGTAGAAATAATTAACATCTGAACTTGCTAAATGTGTCAGCAGCTTATCTGTGAAATAGCCATCATTTTATTCTGTTTTTTTTTAAATGTTCTTCCTTGTGCTTGTCAGCTATTGCTACCTGTCTAATTGAACAGTGCAGAAGCTGTGTTGTTGATCAAACATGTCACATGGGTCTGAATTCCCTCTGAGAGACACACACAGTTCTATCCATTCTGTAGATAAGTCTCATTTCCAAAAGAAGCAAAGATTTGCAGGCTTGGCAAAAATGTTAAAAAACGTACGGCCACCCTTCAGAAAAAGACAAGCCAAGGAAAGCACCTAAATTCTTTACAGTCTTCTTAAAGGGATATTCAAATATTTTTGCGTGGATATCAAACATAAATTATTTAACAAGCCAGGTTTAATAAGAACAAGTTGTGCATTTCCTGTTCTCCCCACTTATAAATGTCAGCAGGTTGAGTTCAAAATATCCAATAGTGGACTCAATTTTGTGCTGGTTACATATTGGATGTGGGCCTTGCCCCTTGTTTATTTCATAACACGGTGATGATAAGGTCCACTTGTAGTGTTTTTTGCAAGAATTCCCTTTTTTGGAAGTGGTTCAATCTCTATCCCCCTCATATCTGTATGCAACAATAACCAATTGTGTAACGATTGTCAAAAGCAGGACCTTGCAAAACTTCATTTGAAATAGTGAGCCCACCCCCCTCACCCCCTCGAAACTGCCAACCTCTTCAGTAAAACACAGAGGATTCTCAATAGTAACTGTTGACACAAATCATCCAGACATATTGCTAGACCAGATGCCTTGGTTAAACAAAGCATGCTCCAGGAGAGTGTTTGCTGTCTGTTTCAACCTCTCTCTCATAATCCATAGATGTCCCAGTTTGTAATTTTCTGTTGGGGGGAGGTCTAGCTTGGACAGTCGGGGTGAGAATTTGTGAAAATCAACACAGGTTTGATGAAGAGAAATAGTTATGTAGCAGTTGGTAACTGCAACTTCCCCTTCACTTTCGGCCATTATTTTTATGGCGATTCGTTTGCCAAACTGAAACTGATTACAGACAGTTTCCGGTTGGCTGCTGCAATCGTGCCTCCTGCATGAAAGCCTCATATGATGCCATTTACAAAAAGTGCCTGCACTTTTCACATTTAAGTGCTCCAGCTCTTAACAGCCTCCTCACATTGGAAAGGGGCATACAAGACTGCAACAAAAAATGCTTTATATCTTATACTTTGGCCACTGGACTGTATCGTGATGTTGGTTGTGTTTAAGGTGGCTGTCTGATGGAAAGTTAGAGAATGAACACTTCTTATGCTTGGACTTGAATGTGTCTGATATTAACGCTCAAAAATAGGTCAATTGATGCATATGGTCTTGATGAATATCTTGCACCTTTACCTAGCCAAACTGATTCAACACATGGTCGTGCATCTCAGATGTCTGGTTGAAATTGGCATTGTATTTGCACGTCTGTTGCCGTGCTTGGCAGACTCAGGGATGGATATTACATCCTCGAGACGCTCACCGATGTATTAATTTCCACTGTCTGTGCCCTAAATGACCCCCCAATGACCCTTGTGATCAAACATGTGAAGAAACGGTGAGTCATTAAAAAAAAGCAAGATTGGTATGCATGGGCACACAGGGATGAAATTGCCGCCATGGCTGCCATGGCAACAGGGATCCTGTATTGAGCAAACGGAAGCCTCGTTATTTGAGAAAGGAGTGCTGTCTTTGGTGCAGCTAAAATAAAGAACCGATAGAAATGGTGAAGATCTTGTATTTATTGTTGCTTCCTGAGGTTATCCTGTCGAGAACTCAAAAGTGAAAGTGCTACTTTTGTGTACCAACTTTATTTTAACTGCAAAGTCTTTAGTCCTTCTACTCATCCCTCCATCAAGTTGAAACTCTAGTACTACATGTACTTACTTTCCTCCTAAAAAAATTATCGGTTTATCAGAGGCCAACTTCAGAACCAAGAAGATTTCAAATTTTCTCTGACAAAATTTCCTGTGAACTGTGTCGTGTCAAAATGTCCAGTGTGTGAATGCTGATTGGCGGAACAAGTCCTCCTTGATGGCTGTCAATAGTCCTGACATAACGAAATTCTGAAACAAACTGGCGACTTTGATGTTAACAACACAGCCAGAATATTAAACTTACAAAAGCATGTACAAACTAACAACTTGGCTTGTAAACTTTCCTGCCTGACAACTTGGATTTAATGCCGTATAATTTACTAACGCAGATCTGCTGTTTCAGCATGTACTTGTATGCTTAAGCTTTGCATTAATAAAAAGCAGATAATTATGCTTTTCTGGTAATGTTGCTCTTTCACTATTTACCTTTCAGAACTGATTCATAAAAATCTGCTTTTAGCTACATTTATGATTCATATTCAGCATTTCGTGCATTGTGGGTGTCAGACCTTAAATTTTTCTTTTTAACTATTCATCACAAACCAATCTGAGACATTCCCTTTCATTGAAATTAGGTTTATTCCCACTTTTTTTTTTCATTAACAATTAACGAGTGCAAGTCACAGCAGGCTTATTGTTTCAACCTGTAATCTGCATTATCTGTGTGAAATATTCTCACAATTTAACATTCACCTCATGGCTTTTGAATAAATATTTAAGTGTGCAATATAGACATTTAATCCTCTTATGAATAATTGAAGTATAACCCTGTAGCTTCTGTAAAAAGATGTTTGTTTTGTTTTGTTACTGTGGTCTCTTTCCAACAGATTAAAAATGTTGAGGCTAAGATTGGTAACCCAGGAGTATGCAGAAAACGCAGATTTTTTACTCAGTAGAATGCCCTCAAGTCTGGAACTTGAGCAAAAAATGTTGGCAATGTACCCCCATAAGTTGGTCTTGGTGATGTTTATTTTAGGATGGGACCACTAACAGAACAAAGCAGAACATACACCTTTTCTTAGTATCATCTCCATTTGCTCTTCTGAAAAATTTGAAATTCTTTGTCAACTTGTATTTTCTAATTGTAGGTTCTAGAAATTTTGATGCATTCCAATCGAAGTACTTAATAACCTTCATATTAGCAATTGTAAGCTTTTTCTTCACAGTATAAATATTATAAATAGTACAGCTGTACATTTGAAAAGTCAATTGGAAATATTTAAACATGTCATTAAATCTAGTCGTGATTGTACATTTTCCATCGTCATTTTTTCTTTGTAAGATATTACTTTTGCTATAAGATTTTAATCGTTATATAAGTATCTCAAATATTATGAATACATGTAGATACTTTAGATTCTACTTTTGAAGGAAGACATTAATTGTCATAATTATCTGTTGGAACTTGGAAAGGCTCCGAGTTTTGAGATGTTAAAGGGAAAGATAAATTGAGGGAAGGGGGGGACCAAAGTAGTCCACCTTTCCATTTGAAATTTCAGCCTGACAGAAATAACTTTTCAAAAAGAAAATAACTGTTTTCCTAAATTTTCATTGAAATACAGACAACTTACAAGGGCAAAAGTAGTATCATTTCTATCATCCAGAGGTGAAAACTGAACACTGAAGAAAAGATAACTTGGATTTAAGTAAACCCTAAAACACGGCTATAATTAAACTGCATGTATTTGCCGCAATTGCTTTCATATGAACTAGAAACAGTATTATAAATCATCTTTAAATTCATTACCAGTGTCAGTTACACGTACACTTCAAACATTCTTCACTTTGACAGTTGCTATCATATATGTTAATATTAAATGCAGCTTTACTTCAAAGAAATCTTGCAAATGATTTTTATTTTGATTCAGAGTTTCGTCAGAGGTTTTTCCATGTTCACTGTGTTTTGTTGATTTATTTGATTTCCTTTCTGTACATTATTGTTTGTTTGGAATGTTTACATTTGTTTATCCAATGTAGAGAACCAAATTCACTAGATTAATAGAGTGACATTATTTCATTTAACATAAACATGGAATTATTTGAACTATAATCCTACCAAATCTGCCAAAATCTAACACCTGGTTTTGATTGATTTTGATTGACATTTGACTTGAGTTCTGACCTCATTAATTCACTTGAGGCGTGATATCCCAAAATTCATTTGAGTACAAAGAACTGTACGAGATTTTGGTGGATTAAGGAAGGAAAAATGCCTCTGGGGTTTGGTTGAATTCCTGTTAGCTTCAAGCTTTCACACATATTGAGAAACAAACGTATGCCAGTGAAATACATTTTGTAAATGGAAAAAGTGCAGCCTTTGTCAGGGAGATAAAGTGGCTAAGCTTGCTCACTTTTCTCATTTTGTTCATTGTTCATTTTTGCTGCGTCAACTTATAAAGGCTTAAAATCAACATGCACCATCGATGCTTATGTGCACAAATACCATGCATGGTCATGCTGAAAGACATCCATTCTTACGCTGTATTTCGTGAGAGATTGTTTCATTGATTTCATTTCTGTTAAGGTGTGTTCATACTTCGTGTATTTGAATGGAAACAACGACTGGACATCAAAAAGCATTTGCTGCAAAATTTGCCTCTTAGAATATGTTCAACCTTTGCTCATTGGCAGCTTGATTGTTGGTACTGGCATCATAAATTTGCTTTCACATGTTCACATATGCTCTCATCGGATTGAAAACTAGCCATTAAGCTGGAAACGTTTTAGGGGGATGGGGGACTACGGTCAAATGTTTGGGCTTTTAAGCGGGACTAATGTTAACTGAAAAACTATATTTGGAAACAATCAACTTTTTGTTCAGTTTTTATGCCATATTTTTGTAAAATGTGTAAATCTATAATGCTTGTCATCCTAATGTTGTGTTGGAAGTTGTTGTGGCCACAATGTGTACATTTTATTTGATTACGTACATACCTGTTAGTTTGTCAGACTGGCACTGTCCATGTTTCCCTTCCTTCCTGTTTTGTTTCTGTCCTTTCAAGTTTGTTATTTGAATTCTACCTAGGTAACCTTAACAAACCTGATGTTTTTATCCAAGGATTTTTATGTGCACTTTGTGTCTTGTAACATGATCTTATAGTCACGTTGGTGAATGACATGTCCCGATCATACTTTTGGATGACAACTTCCCTCGTTAGTCCTGACTTTCTTTTCCGGCCGGCCTTTCCATCATGTCTGTCTTGTGCAGTCTGTCCTGTTGGTGAAAGTTGGTCATTTTTGTTCTGTGTCTTGTCCTTGAGGTCGGTCTTTATAAACACAGCATTCAGTTTATCAAAGGTGAGCATTTGTCAAAATACCTTGTTTTTTATTAAGAGCCTGGTCCTCTGAAAAAAAAAGGTCTACATGCACTCAATAGTCCCCTTGGTCACTGATATTGCCCTTTGACCTGATTTCCCACAATGTGAAAACAGTTTTTACAGTCCCGAGGAAGATCTTATGGTGCAATCATCAAACTTGTCAATAAAATATTGCACGTACTATTTGGCTAGGTACAAAAACAATAGAGACAGGCGTGGTCATTTATTCTTGCAAACGACAGTCCCCTCTTTTGAGTTCTAAATGTTTGCCCCTATCATTTACTTAAAAGATGAATCTGGAATAAGATGGCCGCACCTGAAGAAGACCCTTCTAAGTGGTGCTGTAGTGTATAAAATAACTGGTCTTTGACCGATGGCCAGCAGGGGTTTTCCTTGAGTGTACAGAGATTGAAAGTTCAGATTCATCTATTGGAAATTTTGCACTAAAACATCTGCGCTGTTGAGCTGTTAAGGATAGGTTCATAAGGCCCCATGTTCATCATAGATGTTCTGGCTTCCACCCGTTACACCATTTAACAATTATTTGTCGTGTGGATCTATTAAATGCCTGAATTAATCATTTTTCACTGGTAACCAATGTCCTTTACAGGCAGAATCCAATGAGGAGAGGATCTCGCAAGCTGACAAGAGGGCCAAGAACATCTTAAGGAACAAGTAAACCAATTGAAGTTGCCCAGACTGGACACACCTCCCAACCTCTGTGGTTGGTGACAGATTCTGTAAAAAATTATAAAATATATAAATACTCGCACCGAAAGAAATAAACATAATACCAAGCATCACAAGCACAGATTGAAAAATCTTTTCGCTGCCAAGAATTTTAATGTCTTAATCTTTTCCCCCATTTTTTCACAAACCTGTAGCGTGCTGCTCCTTTGGGTAATAAGTGTAAAGTACAGTAGAATGCTTTCTATGCAAGATTTTAATAAATATGGTGACAGTGGGAGGCAGCAGCAAGGAGCTTTGTTTGAATTTAAGGGTATATTCAGTGGCGTATCCAGCAGGGGGACGGGGTGGGGGTAACTTGCCCCCCACCGTGGAAATTCTCGTGGAATTTTAAATTTTTTTTTCAAAAAATGGGTGAATAAAAGAAAGTATTCGTTATATTTATGTATCAAATATGCAGCAAATAAAAGCATGGATGTCGGGACCGTAAGGCTTTTGGATTTTTTTTCTCCACAACATCATGTTGAATGGGATCAAAGATGCATTCGCTGATTAATCCGCCCCCCCCCACACCACAAGCTGGATATCCTGCTGGGTGTATTTGGGCCCGCTCTTTGATATGATTACCTGGGTTTGATGTCGCTACGGTGAAAAGCGGGAATATGTATAAAAGAAGAAGGGCAACTTTTTTTATGTTGTGCTGGTAATGTCAGGACACTTGCATATTGTTTGTGAGGTACCTAACGTGAACATTCATTTGTTTGTCCGATAGTGAAGAAAACTCGGTGAAAATACTCTCTTTTCTTCCACTGTGACAGATAAACTTGATGTCAAAATGCCCTTAAAGCAATATTTCAGAGAGGTGGAAATTTGCCAACCTGGGCACGTCCATATAACGTCTCTGTGGACTTCTTGAATTCTAAAGTTCACATGAGGTATGTAAAACAAACTTGCACATGCCTTTTGTCCACTGACATTGGTTGGGAGACCCAGTCTTGTTGTCATTGTGCACACCTGTACATCAGAAGGCCCTGGTAATGATGACGACGACATCGCCCCAACCTTTCTAGAATGACTGGTTATTGATGGCTTATCTAAACAGCAGCTAGCACAGTGTTTTCACTGTCACTAGAGTCCTTCCTGATATGAAGCGATCCAGGGCACCAATTTATCTGTAGGAAAATGCGGCATTAAAGCAAACAGTGAGAATGCATGGTTCCACAGTGTTCTTCACTTCAAAAGGAGGAGACAGGAACCAATGCCCCAGTGGTTCATGTGTGCTATTTAATTACTAAGTGTTATCCCGCAGGAATCATTGCATGCCTGGTGCCCCACACTGACTGTTGTGTTTTTGAATATTTACCAGTAAGGGACGCTGTGTGTGGGATCCATGCACAAAAGTCTAAATACCTTTCCCCTAAAACAGGAAAAAGGAAAGTCGTTGAAAAAAATAATGCCAACAGCATTGGTAGACAAGGGCTCTAGTAATTTTAGTATTAAAATAAAGCACATAGTTGTATAAGAAGTAAAACATTCCTTAAAAGTCAACAAGAATCTTCAATACCTTTTTAGCTTATTGGTTTCACAAGACACCCTGCATTCCATTAATATTTTTCCAGGGGTCCTTGCAAGCTTATCTTCCCTGCAAGAAACAGAATACATGTAAAGAAATGCTGTAAAAGTTTAAACATAGGCTGCATCCGAATCTCTTGTCTAGAGCTAGGTCTAGGTTCTTCACTCCATTAGAAATGCGTGGAGACGCGTAGACAATAGACCTAGCCGTAGCTCTGGAAGCCCGTTTCGGACACAGCCAAAGTTTGAATGGAGCAAAAAGAAAGACACAGGTGGAAGTACTGAATTCAGCGATTATCAGCTGCCTGCAATATCCATGATTGCCCAGGGCCCACTTTTACTTGGTGCTGCTAAAGTTTCTGCCAGGACAGCCTCCATTTGTGTCATCGTAGAGGAAGAACACAGAAGGAGTTACAACTCAGGCACTTCAAAGTGTTCAGTGATGGTCGCTGCCTAGTCAGACGAATAATAGAAAACATTCCAAAAATGCCTGATTACTGCCTGTATCTTAGCCGGACAAGCGGGGCCAGTAATATACTAGCAATACTTTAGCTTTTTGCTGGCAATTAAATACAAATTATCAATGTGACCGGGAAAGAGAAAATTCCTGATATTAGACCTACTTTTGCCATCGTAAATAAACGTTTAAAATTTTGATAACTGTTCCATTATCCATGCAAAGTTTTAATTTTATTCTCCTCTGTCCAATACATCAGTGTTCAAAGACTTGGAACAAATTTGGCTAAGGCTGGCCAAGAAAATGTTCACTACTACTGGTAAGCTTAGTTTATTAGGAACAAAATGCACTATTTCATCACAGGGAGTGATCATGAAATCTCATAAAATACGCTTTTGTACAAACGCCATAATAAAAATGATTCAAACAAAACACAAAATCTTGTAAACAACTGGGCTTTTTATTCCCAAAATAACTCCAGAAGAAAGCGCTCATTGAGGGCAATGACTGCACATATAGATTTACGGCACTCAGCGTAATGCAAGCAACTGCACAAGCATTAAATTTGATGTTGTCATGAGATCATACCAAGCACCAACAAAGGCATGAATATTCAACTTCCTATACCTCAGTACACAAAGTTTTAAGGATGCAGATTACCATTGACAAATTGCGGTGGCAATCATAGGGTACCAAGGGGTTTCGTGGTTGTAAAACAGAGGGTGCATAGCAAGCGTTCATTGCGCTCTGGCTATGGACATACCAGGCATGCCAGAAAGCGGTAATTGGCCAGATGTTACAGCCCGAGCAGTTCAAACTCCTACTGTGTCCTTCCTCTATGGTGTCATGGATACTGTAAGCAGTAAGCTCAGCAAGGAGAATCCTGACATCACAGAGAGAATTGGCTTAAGAATGAGATGTGATACATGATATTTCCATGTGAATACATGCATGAGCATGCTTTTTTTGTGTGACTCATACTTCCCAGCAGCTCTGGGGCTCATGTCATGGTGCTGCGAAGTGCAGAATTTGGCTGAGCAAAGGTAAAATGTTGCACAACAACAATGGGTCATCAGCCAAAGTACCCTGCAATGTGTATTCATTGTGACTGGTCCCCAACTGACTTGTGTATATGACACATTGAACCGAGTGATACTCTGCGTAATGGCACCATGACATATGTACCACACAAACACCTAGACTGTGGGTGAGTTTAGTGGCTTCAAGGTGGTAACTCGGCATGATTAAGTCAAAGTGTATATTGGTCATGTAAACATGTACATATCTTCAATAATTTTCTTTCCTTCCAAATTCAGTTAAATATTGTTTCTTTTGGCTTTCACTTTTTTTCTGGGATACTTGTCATTGGCACATTTGTAAGGGATACTTAGATATTCTCACCATTTTAAAGCCAAGTTCAGCATGATTCAGAGCAGATTAAACATCTGTGTAAATACAGGCTGTTAATTGTACATTTTGGTGATAGAAGGTGTTGAAGCTGTATTATAGAATGTGGTTACCAGAAAATCAGTAAGATGTTTGTTAAGTGAATTAACACACAGTTTTGGTAATCTGTATAAATGAAAGAATACATTAAAAGAGTATTCTGAAGAATTTGTATGTTATGTTAAGAATGTTATGTTTATATCAAGGTTATGTGTCCCTGAAATTTCATTTAATGTAATTTAATGGTTGATTACGTTAAATACATACATTAAACATTCACAGAGAGTTGCTGAATATTTTTTTTTAACACTGGAAAAAGAAACGTCATCAGGAAAAAGAAACATCAGAAAAATAAAGAAATATTAGTTACACCTTGATTTATTTTCAATAGGTAATATTTACCAGTACCCAATAATTAAATAGTTACCTACTGGTGCACATTTTTCAGCACTGAATGCCACTTAGTCATTTTTCTGTTCAACTTGAATCTTTGCTGCTCCAAACTCAGATACTTTGTTTTAGACAGTCCATGACTTGCTGACAGCTCCCCATGCGAGGTTTAGCTGAGTCTGTTGGTACTCTGTATTGGTGGGCCTTGTAGATAAAAAGCCTTGCACCGACAAACCCATCCAGATGGAAATATTAACAACCCTTGCCAGAGCAATTTGATGTTTTACTGTATTTAATACATCACTTCAATATTTAGAGTAACTTTGCACTTAATGGTAATAACCAGACAGCAAAATTTTCAAAATGGCTTTCACCGATTAGTAGTTGCAGTAAATCATTTAAGCAATAAAATATGTGTAGCAATTTCAAAAATGTTTCAACAACATAGTGTATTGGTATATGTTACAGTTATTATTAATAAGAAGGTAAGAATTCATCCCACTAACAGAAAGTGAGCAGTAATGCTCTGTTTTTTACAGGAAAAGTAGAAATGTTAAAATTGTTTCAAGTGCCATTTGTAAAGTTTGATTTTGGATTTGATGGTTTATTCTTAAATACTAGTTTTGTATGAACTGTTTAACTGATCACTTTTGTTAAGTGTTGGACAGTCAGTCTGATAACAAGATGACAAACCCCATCCATTTCCTCTTTTCCCTACCATATATTTGTTATTCCAACACTGTTCCTGTTACAAATTGTTTTAGTTAATGTAATAAAAGTTTGTTTATAAAGTTTGAAATTACATTTCACTTGATCTATCCATAATTCATCTTGGAAACGTATTGCTATATAAATTTGTAAATTTAAGTTACATATGTAGACTTTGATCCAGTAATATGAATCTTCTTAACCCAGATCATTTCATTCATGGGAGGTCGTTCTTTTTCATGTGCTGCTCCTTGTCTTTGGAACAATCTATCGGCATGGTTATGATCTTCCCCTTCTCTCCTGCAGTTTAAGAAGGATCTGGAAACTTATCTCTTCAATGAGACATTTAAGGATTAATTTTATTATTAATTTCAATGTACATGTATTAGCGCCTTGAGCACCTTGGTGGATCTTTGCGCTCTATAAATTGTCATTATTATTATTATTATATGCTATTTAATGGTATATATTTCAAATTTTTTTCACATTTATTAAAAAATAAACAAGTACAGTATCTTGAAAGGTACCTTTTGATGTTTAAGATTTTATTTCTTTGCTTTCAAAGAGCCTCGATGATCAAATTATGTGAAAGGGTTTTGTCGAAGCAGATGATGTTTAATTAACTGTCTGCTGGCTGCTTGCGAAAGTCAGAGTAAGGCCTAGAACTCAACGTTGAAAGTCACCTTTATTTGAAGGATCCACACAGGCAGGAATTTCTCACTTGTATTTTTCCCTTGACCAATTTCCATATGTTTATAAAATCTACCCCCTTCTAAAAAAAATTCAAAACAGCACAAAACAAAGTACTTTGATTTTTGTCAAACCGTAGAGGAAGGACACAGAAGGAATTTGAACTGCCCGGGCTAAAACATCTGGCCAATTACCTCTTTCTGGCGTGCCATGCTGGGATCAGGTCAACTCGGAAAACTCGGACCCATTCCAACTCGGACCCATGCCAACTCGGACCTAGGACCAACTCGGACCCACGCCATTGCGGACCCACCTCGCGTCAACTCGGACCCACTGAGTCTTATATTAAGGTTGTATTACACCAAATACGCCCCCGTAGACCGAAATAGCGCCGACTGTTGAACCTCGCGAAGAGGTTGGCCTTCATTTTTTTCGCTGGAAATTCAAGATTATGGCTAGATCGATCACTTTTCGTTTCAATTTTATGAACTTTTTTATTCGCCTTTTCCCGAAGATGCCCCCCTAATAGTAGTAAAACTATGCGCTCATATGGATGTAGCCGCCTGCCTCTATCCAAAATAGGCCCGTATTGTGGGGCTTTTTGTGAAAGAAATACTCTGAACCGGAAACTATCAATCCCAAATTCGGGATTTATATAAATAATTCTATGATCCCTCGTGATTATGGCACGTCTTATTGTAAAAAATAAGAAACCGTGGGATCACAAAGTATTAATTAATGAGCTCGCGAGCAGACATACGACGCTTCAAAACCGTCTCCAAGCCACTGGGAAATATTCCACATTTTTATTTTAAAATGATTTGATTTGTTTTGTTCGAAATTAACAACCTATTTGCGTTATTTGGACAGTCGGTTCAGGCCTGTATGGATGAATTCCTCCATCTGCCTAAAAGTTAATTACGCTCCTGGGTTTGGGTCCGAGTTGGTCGTGGGTCTGAGTTGGTATTGGGTCCGAGTTGGTTGTGGATCCGAGTTGGTCGTGGGTCCGGTTTAGTATTGGGGCCGAGTTGGCATATGTCCGAGTTGGTCGTGGGTCCGTGTTGGCATGGGTCCGAGTTGGCTTGGGTCCGTACCCCATGATCATCTCCGCAATTTTTCGCTGGTAATCTGCATCCTTAAAACGTTGTGTATTGCAGTATAGAAAGTTGAATATTCATGCCATCGATGGTGCTTGGTACGGTACGATCTATCTGACATCAAATTTAATGCTTGCATTTATTGCCCTGATCAAACGCTTTCCTCTGGACTTATTTTAAGTAGTTTTGTGTTTTATTTGAATCATTTTATGAGATCTCATGATCGCTCCTTGCGATGAAACAACTTATTTTGTTTTTCATGAACTTAACTGTCCACATTTTGGCTGGTCTTGGTCAAGTTCGTACAAAGACTTCGAAAACTGATATATAGAGGAGAATAAAATTACAAACTTTGCATGGATAACGGGGGCAGTGTATCAAAATTTTTAAAGTTATTCACAATGGCAACAGTAGGTGCAATATTAGGGATTTCTCTCTCTTTGTTTCCTGGTCACAGCAAAAAATTGTTTTCACTGACCCCCCCCCCGCCCATACAGAAAGGAAGAGCGCACGTCCCGTTTCCCACATTTGTAAGAAGTCGCTGCCAGCCTTTGAAATATTTTGCAAGAGCGCCCTCTCTTGGTCTTGCCATTTTATGTATCCAGATCTGAATATTCATTACGTTATTTCAACATGGCGGACAACACAGCTGCTCAGCCAGCGATCGGTGCCGGTCGGGATGTGGCTTTGACAAATGGCTCAGAAGTTGCCGAGAATCAGAATGGACAGGTAAAACAACGAACCCAACCTTACTGACTATTATTCAGTCAAATTTTCTTGAAGTGATTCAGATGTTTGGTTGTACAATCGATTGTGAAAAAAGGCCGACCGACATGACCGACGTGACATGTGATGGGATCAAACGTGTTGTGCAGTGCGTGTTCACATGCGTAACACTAACAAAGGAAGTGGTCTTTGGGCCTGTTTGTTTCACACAAAAGCTGTCCATTTTGAGACGGGTTCTGTTGTCAGTAAATCAACATCAGATCACTGATTACAATCTGGATCTGCGTGAAACAAACATTCATTGTCATTGACGAACAGATCCCCAAAATGGCAAAAGTAAGGAGACTCATTAATTTTTTCAGCTATTTTTCTTCTTTCTGTTGATGTGATCTTGGACTCGGAGAGGATGTCATGAGAAATATTTTGATTTGGAGTTTGGGGAAAAAATAATGCATCCTGACTCCACTTCAGCAGTTGTGTACAAAGTCTACGGGGAGTGAAGAGAATTTTCTAAGTATTTCCCAACAACATCGGTAAATGTTTCTCAGTCTAGAATTTGTAACTTTCCAGCATTTCTTAATGACTGACTTTTATTGAGATGATATATGATGAGAAAAGTGGAGTCAGGATGCAACGTTTTTTTCAAGATTGGATTCTGTCGGTCTTTCCAAAGGAAAGAAATATTGAATTAAACTTGCAGGGATATTATGAGATGTTTGGAGACATTTTTGTACATGTGTAATGGAGACCATTTTTTGTAGCCTACACAAAAAAGAGTGTGGATTTTGACTGAAATGCTTAAAATCCACATTTTCATAAAAATTTGTTCTTATTCGTGCCTTATTTCAGTGAATTAAATGTTAGCTTCACTTGAAATTTCAAAAAATTGAAATTAAGTAGAGGAACATGTGCAAAAAGATAAATTTTAATTACAGTTTCCTATCTAAGAAAATGAGTGCCCAAATGAACAGCGCCCTCACTCATTCATGCATGTCCCTTGCACGAAAGCACAACTTTCGATTTGATCCATAAGAAGGAAGAAGTGTACTAATGGTAGCCGCAGACCAGGGCCCGTCTACTGGACTGCCTCTGTATCCTTTCAATATGGACAGGATGGAAGGAGTCCGGTAGACCTACTGGCATGACTGGCCCAAGCCCCAGGGCCAGTCTACTGGACTGCCTCTGTATCCTTGGCCCCACAACTAAGCCCCAGAAGTGGGGATGTTTTGTAAAAAGCTACCTAAGAGCCGTCTTTTTCTCATGGCTTCACTCACCCCGTCTGGTCGTTAAAAAATCATCTAACCTTCAAAATGCACCAAGGTCATCAAATTTGCCACCATCTGAAAGCTTGTTTATCCTCTGTCTCAATATTGCAAAGAAAAAATTGCAGAAATCAAATCTCGTGTGAAAAATGAAGAAAACCAAGAACACACATCAGATGTTTACAGAAAAATGGCCGCATCAATGACAAGAATCCCTGCTTGAATCTTGAAATCTTCAAATGAATTCGATCAATTCAAGGAATATGTTTTCCTCTTCATTTGCTGTATTTTTTGTTCCGGAAATCAAAGACCTAAAATGACAAATTTAGTGAAATGGGAGAGACAAATAGGCAAAAGTATCACCCATACTGCTGAACTCGCGACTTTGTGTAATCGAGAAAAACTGCCAGACTTCATTTTCAGGGTGAGTTTTAATGTCCACCACAACAAGTCCCTACAGAATTCACACAATTTATATATTACTTAAACTAATGTGACTTAAAACTACCAAAAAGTGTAAATCTGATGAATAAAGTCAATAAACACTGTTTTTGTGTGAAAAAAATTCAGCTTTTCTTTGAAAATTCTGCACAAGGTCTAAGATGGTGGCAAGATACAGAACTCTCTCCCAACATTCATTGCCAGATGACATCAGGAAGCCACATAATCACTGATACTGTAACAGACTTTTATTTCAACACAGAAAAACATGGACAATTTTAGTCCAACTCCCTGGCTGTTGCCACTGAACTGCCATTTTTCAAAACAAACACTGGGACGTCACTGATTTGAATGTCGCATATAGATGGTACATTGCTAGCATGTGCATGAAACAGTCATCCAGCAGTGCAACAACGACATGTACACATGAAAAAAGCGTATTCCCAGATACATGGTCGCAGTCAACTTGAGTCTTACCACACACAGTCCGTGTGTATTGTTATCCTGCAATGCGCAGGAAAATCAGACATGTTCAATGCATGTGTAGATGTGCAGTTACTTGTATGCTTGTACATAAGATGGTAACCTGGATGGTAATGTAATACTTCAGTGCTCTTTCCTCACATGCATTCCTTGCACCATCAACACTATGCTGGAAATGTTGAGCCCCCTAACCGACCAGCTCAGTTTGGACCAATTTAGTTCGGAAGTGCCATGTTCAGTGAACTTTGGTTTAGCAGTTTAGCTGCAGCACTACTTGGCACTGTAGGATCATGGACAGAATGCAAGCACAGTACAATATCCATCCTCACCTCCACTGTGGCAAGTTGTTTACTGATAAATGGGCATCTTTTGATAAATGTGAGAACAAGAGCATGGTTTCCCATGTGCCTCAAAACCAGAAATCAGCCCACAGAACAGTCCGTGTTTAAATTCTGCACTTCACTCATGTTTCTAGTCACTTTTTCAGAATTTAGCTCCAAGCCAATTTGTGGCACCGTCCCCTATCCTGTTGTCAATCGTGTAGCAATTTTTGAGTATAAACTCGTAGATCTCCTGTTCACGGACATGTGTTGACAAATTTCCTAATTAAGAATCCTGTCAACTTCAGCATTCGTCATCATGGTATCATTGTTGTTGGTTTTGACGGGTCATATCACAGGCAGGGGGCCGGCAGCAGGCTCAGCCCCAGCAGAGCACCTGGCAGATGATCAAAGGCATTGCCTTCCGCATTTTTGTCTTCTACATGATCATGAGCTTTTTCCGCAAATCCTCTGCACCATCTGAGGACCCGGCTGCCACCACAGAGGACGGCAAGAGTGTGGCCACCAGCAAGATGGCCATCAACCTGTTTGAGAAGGGGATGTTGATGGTGAGTTATCGTTGAGGAAGTTCTTTGTGTACTCTGGGTTTAATGTAAGTCACTTCTACTCACTTGTAACCCACTCCTTCCTTACAGAGATTTCACGTGGTGTGACCACATACATGTACATGTACATGTGTACCTTTGTACAACGGTTTAATATGGTAGCAATACTGAAGGCTTATTTAAACCGAGTTCTTTACATTTTTGTGGCATATTCTGTTTGCTCCAGCCTTGAAGGAGTGCCAAGGTTTGTGTAAAGTACATGTAACAGTGACTGGTTTCTGCCTTCCTTAACCCTACAAACTCTTCCCAAACCTCCTAGTAGATTTTGAAGGATATGGGAGGTTAAGAGTTCATAGGTCATGCAACTAAGTTTGAAATAGTTATGTCAGTTCCACGCTTGATGACACTTTGCACATTGGGGTCACTTGGTACCAAATCACACAAAATCAAGGTACCTTCCATCTGACCTCAAAATTGCGTGGGAAAACAAGTTTGCACCAAACAGAGGAGAATAAAGCCTCCTCTGAATCTTTTCTGTTGGATTGTGTAGATGTAAATTTAACTCCTAATCCTGTTTCCCTATCCCTCATCACTAAGTTGATATCTCCCATATATATCCTATTGCTTCTCCTCTTAGGACCTTCGCATCTACATCTCTGAGCAGGACAGATTCACGCAGTTCAATGACAGTAGCCACTTGTTCTGGGAACTGACAGACTTGGAATACGGAGACTGGGTTGGGGGACCCAATGGGGATGGATCTTACACAGTGTCAGACTTTGTGGACATCTCAGAGGTTAGTTCAGTGTCTGTGACCAGGTTTTTCCTCTAGGGACTTTTCTGCAGCGTGTTCCAGGTTCAAACAACTCTTACTGATACTAAATACTTAATGCTATCAATGCCAACAGCATTAACCCCAACCTTCCTTAACCACACAGAATTAAACAGTAGTAAAGTGTTTAATTCTGTGGGGATAGGTCTGGTAGGCCCAGACAGCTGGCTTTTGCATTGAGTTTGGCATACCTCAGAAAAACTAAGTCCAATAGCCTTTGTGCACAAAGTCCCAACTTTGTGTGAATGGGGAAGGTTAGGCCAGCAACCCTTGGGGAGTTAGGGTTAAAGTCCGTCATTTTTGTCATTTATGCATTATTTTCCTTTGAGGCAACAGAATTACTCAAAATCTTAAAGAAAGGTGTCTAAGAAAAAACCTGAAGAAATTTCAGCTCAGTGAATACTGTATATTCTGAGAATAACAGTATGAGAGGATTTTGTTTCCTAATCAATAGTTGCTGAGTCATGTTTTGAACTGTGCCTGAATAAAGTGCCTGGTACACATTCTCACATGCAGCTGCATGCAGCTGTATGATGTACAGACCAGCGGATTGTTCATCAACAAACCATACACAAAATCAGTTGCAATAATGCACACAATTGTACATTATAAGCACTATAATAGCTTCTCACGTCTCTGGCCATGATTTAGCTAGATTTAAGAGACGAACAATAGTTTTTACCCTGTTGAAAATTTCCATTACTTTTAAATTTTTAATGAGTAATTTACTTTCTGAATCGTTTTTAGATTTCTGATTCCTGTGAATCTGCTTAACCCCTTGACGATAGGAATTTGTTTCCGAAAGCTGACTACAAGAATTCCAGCCTGGCTTGGCCACGAAGGCCACCTGTCAAACCGCAAATTCTCGGTTTGTGGCCCAGCGTGCTCTGCACGCTTTGAATTACACAGTGAAAAGGCTGAGGATCTCAATTTTTACAGTGGCTCTATCTGCGTCCCGGCGCGAAGGGGTTAACAAGCTTCCACAGTGCGATTTTTCTCATTTAAAACACAAAAGAAATTCTCCCCTCCTTTTTATGAATTTTGCCTTCGAGTATTCAGACTTGGAAAATAATATTCAAATATTCGATAATCAATCGGATATTCAGCACAGCCCTGGTTGACATGTTTGGGTTGAGGTAGTTATCAGTCAAGGATGGTGTCTATCCCCCCAGAAAATAACATAGGCTGGGGTGCTGTCTGAAACTTGCAATAACCTAACGTCAAGAACTGTTTCCTTGACATGCATTTTGCCAAGTATTCAGTACAGTAATTATTGCTAACACCAAGCAAGCTCCCTGTTCATAGTTTGGTCATTGAGGTTTTAGATAATGCTATAAATGAGTCTGTGCTATGTGTATTTTCCCTTTTCACCTAGGAAACCATGAACAATGGTTCTCTATATATCCACATATACTTCACCAAGAGTGGTTACTCACCCGATCCGAAACAGAAAGGGAAGTACGCTAAGAGATACACCGTCTCCATGTCCAAACGTGAGTAACTGGGCTCACAGATTGTCATGTCAATTGTTTAACTGGCATTTCACGGCTCCTCGCCATTATCTTCCTGAATCCTCCCAAAATCCTCCCTTATGCAGGAAACTAATAACATGTTCTTGGTAATAGAACTTTCAAGGGTGCTAAGCCTCAGGTAAAGTACTAATGCCTAGCCTCTTTCTTCCTTATGCCTCAAAAATCCTCAAGACAAAATCCTCAGAATCCTCAAGGCAGGAGAGTTTAATAGGCTACATCCATGAAAGAGGGAAGTTTTGGAAAAGTTAAAGGACTTTCTTTTCAACTTGATTAGGTATCAGACATTGTGGGGACTGTATGCCGTAAATCAGCAGTGGACGTTAGGGGGTATACGTTACTCTTCTATTTGGGGTGAACCCCAAATTGTAGAAATGTATTAAGGAGTTTATTGTGGGAGACTGGTGCAATGTAAATGGAATTTCAGGCTATTCATGGTGAAGGACAGCAACAGGTGGAAAGGCTTGCAGTAGCACCATGCGAAGGAATATATCTAGCTTATGAGTATGTGTGGTTCAGAAAAGAACCGGGAGTATTCTCCCGGTTCTCCCGGTTCTTTTCTGAACCACACATACTCATAAGAGAGATATATTCCTTCCCATGGTGCTACCGCAAGCTTTTCCACCTGTTGGTGCGATTTAATCTACTCACTGATTTATGCCAGGGTTGAACCGTTTCAAGAAGCGTCACTTCACCAAGACAAAGAACCTTTTGACCGGAGCAACTGAAGCCAGCCTTGAAGATATTAAGGTACCTAATATATTTTTCCGTTTTCTTCAGTTTTAGTACCCATTCTTTCATGTTGATAATTGCTGATAAAAAATAATGAAATCTTGTTTCTAGCCATGTTGTATGAGGCATTTTGCTCTCTCCAATGAAAGAAATTGCCTTCCAAATAACAGACTTTGAATGTTCAGGCATTACAATTCTGTGGTCACTTTAATGGGAATGGATGAGTTTTGAAAAGTTGACATGACACTGTTCAGCATGGGAAGGCATGAGAAGAAAGCTTCGTTGGCTGTTCTTGTCCATCACCAGCCAGCAGCTGCGGTGTCACTGACCATGAGGTCTCTGCGGTGTCACTGACCATAAGGTCTCTGCAATGGATGTCCACACTTATTACCACTGTGCCCTCAATAGCTGAAGCCTGCAGTTCACCCCTTGGAGTTTGGTTTCCTGGGACTGCATTGGGTCACCCTCGAAGCTTGGGTAGCAGGGCATCTGCTGGTTTGTGTTCATTTTGGTTTGACATTCCTTTTCCAGAGGGCCGAGGAGGAAGGCCCAACCCAGATCATTTCCCACTGGCATCCCAATCTCACCATCAATATTGTGGATGATCACACACCCTGGAGGCGCGGGAGTGTTCCACAACCGCTTGATGAGTGTAAGTTGTTTTTATTGTCTTCTTAACTCATTATCATCCTGCACTTGGTGCTAAATGCGCTGTTGGATGAAAAGATATAATCAATAAATGTAAATGAACCAATCTCATATTACATGGGTCACATCATGATCCTAATTATCCATCAAGTAAATGACATGATCGAAATGCAATTTTGTTCAGCTCAAGCTGCTTAAAAGAGAAAAGACCGTGAATATTTTCTTCTTTAACTTTCTTTATTTTGCACTACGTCAAGTTCCGAAAATGCCTTAAAATTTCGATCACATACCAGAAAAATGCTGGAATATACTGCTGTGGAAAGTCCGTTTACATTTACATGCAATAAATGCTTCATACATGTACATTATGTAACCCTGAAGATAAACATCTGATGGTTAAAAAGTTTTATGGTCAGAAATCTGCTCTGATGTTTTGTAAGAGGCTTCAATTGACATGAAATTTCTTTCTTCAATTAGTGGTCACGTTTCATGTGTCTGGTGACTACTACCCGATCGTGTACATCAATGATTACTGGAATCTCAACAGTGACTACATGCCCATCAATGAGACCACACCGTAAGTCTTGCCAGCCCTTCAAAATTTTCTCTTCTGGATTTTCTTACATGCCAGAACAAGCTTTAGTTAGGTCAAGATGGCGGTGACTGAGCAGGGTTTTTCCTTTGATGATCCACAACTTAGCACACAGAATCCGAAATGCAGCTGATCACGTTTAACATTCATGTATGATGAGGCAAGATACATTCTCTGTGAAGTTTAAGGCTCCCAAATCCTTTCAAATCAACTAAGATTTTGTAGGATTGAGGAAGGAAGAACCCAGCGATGAGACTTGATGCTTCTTCAAAATTTGAGTGGAAAGAAAGTGCCCTTCTCTGCATAATCTGATAGAGAATTTGGGAGGACGTTGGAAGGGTGTCTAGCATAAATGCTTTGCGTTTAAATTAATCAGATGAATGTTAGTACTATTACCCGATATGCTCTCCGTTCTTTGCCATTCAAGTGGGATGATGATTGTACAGTCTGTTTTGGCTTTTGAGTGTAAATAGATAGAAATGGGAAAGGGCAACACTGATGACATGTATATGACTTCCCTCTTCTCTGTTTAGCATTGAATGATAGTAAACCAGATCCTACTTGTTACAGCGATTCTGATTGGCATTAGCGGAGACTAATATTGGGAGAATTGAAATGTACCAAAGAATTACGAGGTTGTGCTAAAACTATAGACCTGATGGCTTGATTTGTACATATGACACTACATTAAACTAACATCAACACCCCTCCAAAGCAGTCTTTTCTGTCCTCTTGTGGCCCACAGACGCCTGCCGCTGTCCCTGACTTATACTCCCATCTCCTTGTTCAAGCTCCAGTTCTACGCAGCCCAGTCCATGCGCAACCAGTGGTCCATGATTCTGGGGGAAGGGGGAGAAGGAGATGACGACGATGAACAGGACAGCTTAAAGGTGAACACTCCGAGAATGGGAGTCAGGGGCTAGTTCTTGGTTCTTAGTAGCATCTGTAGAGATGTCAGGGAATGTTTGTGGTGGATCAGGTACTCTGAGAAATTGTATTTAAGTGTGATTGGTTGGCTCAGCACGCTTAGTAAAACGTGGCCTTACTCCCACACTCACTTGTAATGGAAGCTGATAAGTATTGAGTACTTGTGCTTGGACTGTACCCTTAGGTCTACTGAAATTATTTTGTGCTAGTAGACGCCTTGTTTTGGTAAATTTGAAATATCTTTGCTGAATTTCTGTGTGTGTGACACGGAACAGACTAGCATTGGCTGAGATATTAAATATATAAATAGGATGTGAACAAGGAAGGCAGTGTTTACTGGCTGCAGTCTCCTCCTGTAGAGATATGTGTAACTCCCAGCAGCCTTCCCATCCAAGATACTTGGTTTTAAAGGAAAACACTTCCTAAAGAACACTTCAAATAATGTACACGTACAGGATACCAGTTATAGACCTGCTGCACTAGGTACTCAGTGACCATTCTTTTCACAAGGCATGGAACCGTTGAGAAACCATGGAGTGCACTGGCTGCATCTGTTCTTAAGATTTAGAGGGAGAATTGTTTAACCACAGTTCTTGGGTGAGCTTGTTCACTGCTGAAGCAACAGTTTACCAGAGATTTCTAGATCAAAGTATATTAACCACTTCCTGCGGGGCGACCCATTTTCGAGTACATAGGCTTTATATGCAGAGCAGGGGAGCTCAGAACTGGGACAAAAGAGTTGGGCCTTATAACAAAAGACCATGCTCAGCCAAAAAGACTGAGCTGTTGGACATTACCGACATTTTTTCACTCTCAATAGTGGAGATAACCCAGTCTTGTTTTGAAATGGTATACCATGGTTTGAGGCATTTAGAGCGAGCGGATTACCACCGGGGACAAAAGCGCTCCACCACTGCAGGGATGAGCCAAACAGCACCACTGCATGCTAATCTGGCCCCTATTGAAAAGAGGTCAGCGGCGCTCTGTGCCGGTTTGGGGAACAAAAGAATCTTACGTAACACTGCACAATCTGGGCTCTTTTTCCAAGGCTGCAGGCCTGGCTGAAATATTCAGTAGTCAATAAAGGTTACCTGTCAGCTTTAGAGTAGTGTCCAAAGAGTCCTTCATGTTGGTTTAAACGGCCATTGAATGAAATGATGAATTTTTGAAGAATTTTGAAAATGGAAAATCTTGAAAAGGACCCGGCATCTTGTCTTACTCAAGAAAAATCCACCCGGCAGCAAGTGGTTAATTCACTTTTGTTCTGTGTACTCCTAAAGTCTGTGCATTGTTGATTTTCCAGTTATCCTGTTTCTCTTGTTTCGTTCATGCAGAGAGCCATGCTGGAGACTAACCCATACCTGCTGGCACTTACTTTTGTCGTCTCCATTGTACATAGCGTGTTTGAATTCTTGGCTTTCAAAAACGGTAAGAATCTTCACATTACCTTGGAACTTCCTTCAGTGTGCATAAATATGGATACTGCATGTGCATCTGATGCAGTATGCAAAACAACATACTTTTTATTCTTGTAGACAGTTGAAAAGGTTGACATCTGATTATGTTGTTCCTAATTTGCACTCTTCATTTTCACAGATTCCTTCCTCATGTAGACGAATCCAGTGACAATGGTAACAAAATCACTGGCCATTTGCTGTGTCCCTTGCAAGCATTTTGATAACTAATCTATGGAGGTACTTCCATAACAGTCACTCCTTACAAAACCCAACACAGTGGTATCTGCCACTGTGTTGAGCCATCGGGAGTGTCCTGTGAAGCATCACTGGATTCGTCTGTTACTGAGAACAGTTTTCCCCACTTGTTCTATTCTTGTACAATTATGAAGACTGGGCATAAATGTCGGTATTTAGGATTTTAAGCTGTGCAAAATGTAGCCTTTCATGACAACTATACAAGTTTGTGTCTTGATTGGGTGCATGAAGATTTTTAGCATTGACAATCATACTTTGAGAAAGACAATTAGATTGCTAGTAAGCTCACCTGATCACGATGTCAGCTTAGTATAATGTAGTGTAAAATTGAGTTACCTGTGATACTGTGGATATGAAGCAGTACAACATCACAATGTCTATCGTTGCTATTCTATACTCTCAAACTGTCGTTGTGTGCAAGCAATGGCATCAATCTGTGGCAGCAAGCAGTCGGTTATTAACCCTCATCTCCTTGCCTGATTCAGACATCCAGTTCTGGAACAACCGCAAGTCCCTGGAGGGTCTGTCCGTGCGCTCCGTCTTCTTTGGTGTGTTCCAGTCGCTCATCGTGCTGCTGTACATCATGGACAATGAGACCAACTTTGTGGTCAAGGTCAGCGTCTTCATAGGCCTGCTCATTGAGGCCTGGAAGATCACCAAGGTCGTCAATGTCAAGGTAGGGTCATGACCCTGTCTAACAAAATCACACCTCAGCTCACCTGACATGCATAGTAGCTTACTCCAGCTTTTACATCAAAGTTGTTGTGCAGGTGTAGTACCTCTTGTTATGGCAAAGGTACACATCCTTGGATGTTGACTCACTTACGTTGTGACAACCTCAGCACTTCAGATTAAAAGCACTGTCATTATCAGAAGACAGTTTTCTTGTGTCGGCTGTGCGCCTGTGCTGAGTTGTGTCACTGTTACTTGAGGATGCAGCAGATTATACTCATGCAGCTGAAAATGAGCCATGCTGACTGGGCTCCACTTGCGTGCCTGAAGCAGCTGATGCACTTGATGTGTCCTTCCTTGACTTCCATGGATGGTCCAGGCAGGACTGTCTGCAGTTCACTGCATAGAGTCCAGACTTATGAAGCAGCTGAGTTACCTAGAATATGACTCTGTGTTTGTAGTCTGAGCTGTGAATGGAAACCTGAATTCCTTTTCAGAGCAAAATGGTTGCACAACAACCATCTCTGAGATGAGTATTGTTCTGTATGGACACATACATGTATGATGAGACCTTCTCTCCATTCAGTGTTACTGAATTGAAAATTCCCCCCCCCAAAAAAAAAGCCTTCATGGTGGATGCCAGAGGATTTGAATCTTGGTATAGTAGACTTTAGTGCAAAGCATTGTTTTGATGTCTAACTCAAACCACACAAGTAGAACACAATAAACATTCCCTACCCCATGCTTTTAAAGTTGTACATTTTCCTTTCCCAGATTGATACAGTTAATCCATACCTTGGATTCATACCAATTCGATTTGAGGACAAGTCATCTTACACAGAGTCATCAACTAAGAAATATGATATGGTTAGTAATTAAATTGCCCAGAACGTACAATTATCTTCAGAGAACCGAGTTCTTTTAATACCTGTTCAGTATTGATCAAGTGAATAAAGAATCTTTTATACACATGCCTCTTAAGCATATCCAAATAATGGGACCCCCTTTTTTAACTTGATTAAAACAGCTTGACAGTGTCCCATGATATTTCCAGATGACTGAGGGCGTTGTTGAGTTTCTTCATTGACTTTTTACGCTTGTTCAAATTTGGGCTGAACCTTGAAATAACGTCTCCTGTAGAAGCCTCAGGCTAGTCATTGCAAGTCACTTGCCATAGATGGTTATGTGACAGGCAGCCATGGCTAGTTGATCTGAACGAGGCCGTTGATTGAGGGCAGTGGCATGCGTGTATTAATTGATCCAAGAGACAATCTGTTTCTTAAGAAAAAAGCTCTGCAAACTTTTTACATTCAAATGGGTGTGTATTGATATTTATGTCGAACGGGACATCACTGCTCACATCCGAATTAGGACATTTAGCCAAAACTATGATTATCAGTTTTGTAAGGGGATTGAAATCTTAAAAATGCCACCAACATTAGACCCCTAACTAGAAACACCTGTTACACGTAACAGAGTATTGGGATATCATATCTCTTCATTCTTGTTTTTCATAGATGGCCTTCAAGTATCTGTCCTGGCTTCTCTTCCCACTCTTAGCCATATACTCAGTCTACTCAATCATCTATCAAGAGCATAAAGGCTGGTACTCCTTTGTGCTGAACATGCTCTATGGCTTCCTCCTAACATTTGGTAAGTCATAGCCTGATTGTGCCCAGCACACCATTGTCACGTGTTAATGGTCATTCATCACCAACTCGCCGAATTTGATTTCCTTGTGCCAGAAGGTCTTGCCTTTTTGTGAGAAGCACCACCACAAAGCTCTAAATACGCAAGGTAGGCCAAAACAGCATGAAGGTAGAAACAGACCAAAAGCATTACAAATCCCTCACAATAGACTTGAGGTCTCTCCACGCACAATGAAAGCAGAGCATAAGATTAAAGGAAGGCACGGAACGGAACAAGTTTCTACTGGTGGTTCTTAAAGTTGGTTTCCCCAGATGGACGTCTGCAAAGGCTCACCCTCTTGCCTTGATTTTGATGCAGGGTTCATTATGATGACGCCCCAGCTGTTCATCAATTACAAGCTGAAGTCGGTGGCCCACCTGCCCTGGCGCATGCTGACTTACAAAGCTCTCAACACCTTCATCGACGACATCTTTGCCTTTGTCATTAGGATGCCCATGCTGTATCGCATTGGTTGCCTCCGTGACGGTGAGTCAGAAAGCTTAGGTGCAACCATCGGGGAATTTTTGTTAAAACATGCTCTGACTAGCCCTGTTTGAGGAAGTGGTTGTAGTAACGTGTTCATGGACATAGTTTGGAATGCTGAGTTTAAAACCTACTTCTCTCATTGATACTAAACTTGCAAAGTTTGCCCCATAAACAATATTCAGGGTTTCGAATACCAGCCACTTTCAAAATGGTGGTCCAAATCTGCAGTAAAGTACATAAATGGATGGACGTTATATTCTCTTGAAACACTGCTAACTCCATCAGAAGCCAACATAGCAGGTGTAATGTAGTTCCACATAATCTAACACCTAGAACAAAAGACCAGAAATCACCTACTTTTGCAAACTGCTTAGATTCAGCAGGGCTTTTTTTTTATTATTTCCTGGAATCATTCCAGTCCGTCTCATGACCAGTCTCTTTTTGATACTTGGTGTGCATGTCAAGTCATCCATGATGTGAAAAACTGTGAAATTGAAGTTGGTTTATGAGCATTCATAATTCCCACTCTAAGCCTGTGTGCATTTTAGAACAAGTCAGTGGGAAACATTTACATTTTGGCCAACTAGTCTTTGAAAATGGACACTCCGCAAGAATAGTATGTCTGATTATTGTGAAGTTGGTGTCAAAAATTATCACATCAGTGGAGAAACTTCTGAAGGCTCAGTATGTTAGAAAAAATGCAAAGGAACAATATCGGACAAACTGTAGTTATTGTGTCCCCTGGATTTTTTTCTTTAAGCTATTTATCGTGCCTCAAAGAAGCAGTTTTGACGTGTTTTTCTGAAAACCCTGTTTTTGCTACACTCGCTCAAGTGTCCCACAAGAATGCAACATAATTCTATTAAGGCCTCCCCCCACCTAAATGTTTTCCCTGTGGCTGCCTCTCTGCAGATGTGATCTTTGTCATATACCTGTACCAACGCTACATCTACCCAGTTGATCTAAAGCGTGTCAACGAGTTTGGGACCACTGGGGAGATGCACATAGAGGCAGACAGCCAGACAGCTGCAGCCACTGATGGTGCTGAGCCACAGGCGATAGCTCCTCCCAAAAGCAAGGAGGAAAAGAAGAAAGATTAGGTCAGCTGTAGCCCAAGCAACTCACCGGTGAAAGCCAAATTATGTAACTGGTTGTAAATTTGCCCTTTTCTGTTTGGGGGTCCTTTTTTTTTTGGGTTGTATCATGGCAATAGTTGTCAATTGTCCCTATGTTTGTGTGTGATGTCTTGAGGCACTGTGAGTTGTGTTAGTTTGACGCTCCACCTCCTCCCCAAAACCAAATTTACTTTGGACTAGAAGGTTGTTTTCTCCATGGGAGACTTTGAAATGCTTGCCGAGAGCAGACCAACCAGTCCTTTTGGTCAGTTCTGGACATGTTTGCACTGTTCTGCCAATGTGCCAAAGTTCTGAGCATGCGCACAACTGTGCAAAACGACCAGTTTGTCTGCTGCTACCAAGCGTCTCAAAGTCAAAAAGTGTGGAATACATGAAAAAGAACACTCAGAAATTCAGACTTCTGGTCACTGCAAACTCACTTCACACTGTGGTAATGATCACGGCCTTGTGCTGGCTGCTGTTAGAACCATCACTTTGTAAAGGCGACGGTCATTCAATTGATACGGTCAAAAATGAGAAGCGACACTGCCGATTAGTTACCGTCCATTACAGACAGAAAGGTCTTGCACCTAGACTAGGCTTCTTCAGGCTTCTCTGCTGAAGTGTTTGTGAGATTTTCAGAAAACTTTGGTTTCATTACCAGAAAGAACTAAACCCCAAATAAATTTGCTTGTCTCATACACTTTACACAAAGTTGCAACTCCACTGCACTGGCAAGGATGTGGGGGGGGGGGTTTACACTTGTTGCTATTACTAGATTAGCATGTTATCCAGCTCGTAAGTGACTTTGTCACAAAGGCAGATGCGCCACGATTTGCAGACTCCCATTGGACGATCGCTGAAGTTGCGCGTTAACTTCGGTTCCATGTAAATAGCGATCAATGCATGTAACTCTGTGTGCAGGCATGTGCAGTGGGCGTGGTTTAAACTGAAGTGACGTCACACTTACAAACCGGATAAGGCATAATGCAGGACATCTTTGGCAGATGACCAAGATGGTATAAGCTGGATGATGTGATTATGGTAACTTAAAAGTTAACTACATAAAATGTAGTGTCTGGGCTGAGACTGAATGTGCCCAGAAAAAAACCTAGCGTCTATGCCCAATAACCCAGCTCCCAACTGAAAGACGCATTTACCAAAGTGGACTTTTTCATTTTAAATATAAAAGAGGTTAGACCCATCCGATGTTTATGTGATAATGCATCTTTATTTACTAAAAGTAATGGCACAGTTTGACCCGCTGTCACTAGGCCGTTACAAGGCTGAACGCCGTTGTCTGTAGCAGTGGTGCTTTGCAAGGCAATATGATATTCACTTAAAACTTACACCTGTTGCACAATCAACGCTATAATTTATTTTTACCGTGGCATCCATCGTAGCCTAATAAATCAAGTATCCGTTGATCAGTTTAATGCTGTTAAGTGAAGTCACTTACACTGAAAATTTGTCTTACATACCCGATCCAGAGAGGCAAATGTTGAAGAATCCGCATGTGAAATTTTGAATCCGTTTAACATGTTCTAAATGTTACATGCTATCCCTGAAATGCTGCTTAGCAAGTAACTAACCATTGGAGATGTGTGAATAACCACCACAGCTGGCTTTATCATTCCGCTCGTGCATATTCTAGACTGAGCATGAATGTGACCCAAGATGTGTTGCTTTATAAGAGTGTTACAATGCCCTGCATAGCCACTCCCTGCCCTGTGGTAATACCTTGTGGTCATTTGTAAGCCATGTAACACCAATGAAATCCCTGTAGTTTATAAGAACACATTCAGTTTTTCAGGAAGCTACGGCAAGCTAGACCTTGAATTATCGCATTTGTTGTAAGCAAGGCTCTTTCTCCATTTCTGGCAAATGGACTGCTACCGTGCGCGTGGTTGTAATCTGGAACAACAAAAAACTTTTTTATTCACAGTACCCAACGGGCATGTCACCGTTTCCTCAGATCAGCTATACAGAAGTCTTGTGCTGTTCGGGTACTTTCCTCCCTCCCCCCCTTTTAGTGGTGCATGTATGTTGCATGTGTGACCCTGGCTTTCGAATTCAGGTAGAAATACATGGCTTGATGAGTATCGGTTCAGTCAACACAATCTTGGAACTTGGTGTCTTGGCTGTGGCTGGCAGTATAATACGCAACTATGGAACATGTCTTGACTTGCTATCCGGTTTGCTAGCTTCGGGACACACATTATTATAGGCTGCACAACATTATTATGCACCCTAGTTAATGAAGATTAAGCATAAAACCCAATACGTGTACTAGTACGGTAGTTTAGTTTTTTCTTTCACAAGTCCAGTCACAAATCCTTTCACAAAACGAGTCAAAAATAACTGGGCGATTCTAAACGACAAAGGAATGCTTTTATCTCAGGTCATCAGAAAAGCTTTTGACTTGGCTTAAGATCAGTTGACTTGTGCTGGACTATGGTATTGCCTTATACTTCACTGTAGTTGCCAGACTCAGGAAAAGGACACATACCCAACACTGTTGGTTTTTTAAAAAAGGCTTTACAATGCCCAGCCCATCCCTCTTTGTCTGTACAATGTATAAAAAGTACAACATTGGTAAAACTTCGTACACATATTACGGCATAAATGACTTTCATATTTATTCAGTGAAAATGTGACATGACATATTTCTTTATTCTCAATTGTTTCTCTCAAATGTAATCTCTTCACAAGTGTTCAGAACATCTTCAGATGTCTTTTATTTTCCAGTTTTTCAGTATTGATTATCTGAGATATTCCTTTGCAAGATTTTCTTTCTGTAGCTATTTCACTTTTGGGGAGGGTGGTTTTGAAGGTGTAGGGCAAGGAAGAGCTTTTTGTGTAACACTACTCCATCAAGTTTAAGGTTAAAGGTTGCAAGGAATTATTTGTGAATTCCCTTTAAAAATTCCATTCCCTTAAATCACAGATCCCCTCTACAAAACTGTGAGATTTATTAGAATGCTCCAGCTTTTTTAAATCTCAAAACTTGGACTCATTTGTGGGAACGAAGTTTTTGGAAAAATTACATACTCCACGAATTCCACATGTGAGCCTAACAAGAGGTAGCCTACTTGAAAGCAGCCTTTAGGTGGATGGGGGACATAGCATGTGTGCACTTGGGTTCATGTGTATTTGGTAAAGGTAGGACCAATTTCTGGTGGTGTGTACAGTCTGGGAATACTCTGGGCATCACGTTGCAACAGTTACCATCACCACCAGCAAACCCTCTCTCTTCTCTGCAGTGGGGTGTGTCAACATAGTGAATATTGAACAAGATTGTTGGTTTTCCAGGTCTCTGGCAATAAACGGTTATGTCTTGCTCTGTAGATGGACTTCATTGTTGACGGGATCTATACAAAAATGGTTGCCACACTTTCAAGTCTTGCTGAGGGTTGGGTGGATAGTTTCAATGGTGTTCGTTTGTCTTTCCTGTGGCATTTAAGACTGGTAATAGAATGTTTTTAGCTGCATGTTTACAAGTATTTAAAGTTCCATAAAACAAATTGGAAGTGTAAAAGGAAATCAAGATATTAAGAGACATGTTTAATACCAAAAAGCATGAATTGAATGGATTTGTTAAATTATCCCTGCGACTTGTTCAGTTACCTCGGCAAATGATTATACCGTTTTGCACATTTCCTTCTATATAATGTTTAATTACAAGGTGTGTTTTCTATAATTATGCAGGAACAAAGAAGAAATAAACCCAGGCAGATAAATTTTATGCTGAAATAATGATGTGTACCCGATTCAATTCATTTCTAGAGTCTGAAGCTGTCTCATATTATTAAATGTTACAAGGTACCATTCTCTCAGGATCTCTGTGGGATCAAGTTAACCCATTCGAGACATTTAAACAGCCCTCCTCATCTCTTTATCAGTAACGGGTAATGGCTCTGATATTCCTTATTTTGATGTCTTTGTGATTCAGTCATTGCCAGTGCAAATGTTAAATTCAATTCACGTGTAAATCTGAATGCAAGCAATCCTTGAGCCAGACTTTCTGTTTCATCCATGTGATTCTGTCTAGTGCTTAAACACCACCAAGCTTTAGTCATGTACACTTCTTTGCAACTTAAATATATCTAAATATAACCATAAGAGCAATACAGCTAAAATCTTCCACTTTCTGTGAAATTGGTTTTCTGGTAAACTGACAAAGGTCAGAAGGGAACAGTTGTTCATGTTACACCATTACTAGAGCTGCAGAAAATGCAATTTAACCAGCTGAAGCTGTGATTTCACACGAAACTTGTCCCAAGTGAGGCAATATTGTCAGCTGAAAAAAACCACTTTTAAATGACAAGGTACCTCAGCCTTAGTCTGTTACTGAAATGGACATTAAATGATGACCACTGTCAGTCATTTATTCAGGATTTGTGCGACATTTCTCAAAACATCAGTGCATCTTTTTACGCTTGAAGACAGTCACAGAATGATACTTGCTACAACGCCCAGCTGAGGCAAATACCCTTGAGGGCTACACGCCCACTTCAGCACCGTAGTTGTGACAGCACACAATATTTCGCCTATTTTCTGAGGACCAAAAACTTTATGGGGACAAAGAAAATGTTCCCCGACGTTATAGCCAGTTTATGCATTTTTGACCCGCAAATTCCTCAAACCTTGCATTAGCACTTTGACCCAATCAAGCATGATACCTTAATGCTTCAACCCCAGAAATGAAAAAAAAGAATTCTTAAACAAGTGAACATGTCTTCCATGGAACTAGTAAGGAAAATTATGTGTGTTTACACAGTATCTAGTGTCAAATGGTTAAGAAAGAAAAGGGGTCATTTAAAGTTTCCGTCTTTTGACACCCCTGGTAAGACACAGGACCCCTTCCAAAACATTTGATAAAATCTACCGGTATCCATTCCCTTTGTTAAGGAACTCCTTTGACAAAGTTCATCCGTTGCTGGTAGTCCTTAGAGTAATAGTAATCAGATTCATACTTTGTGTCTGATGTAGACAGTCTCACATAGACCATCCCTTCTCTGACCTCTACGCTATGCGTTCGCTGTTTTATGCCCTTTGATTTCCAGCATGGAGCCCGTCTCGGATTCTTCAGGTCTATGAGTGAGAAATATGGAAGACAGACAAAAAAAGATGACCTTGGTATCTCCACGCCATACTTACCAATCACCTGGTTTTATGAGGAATGGTTGGCCAAAAACTAGCCAGACCTGCACTGTCACCTTAATGTCAGGATTTTTTCTAATCGACAGAAAACGTGTGGATTACTTCTAAAAAGTTCTGAAGTGAAAAAAATTCAATACTTGGAATTCTGAAGCAGTCCTCAAATGACCAGCTTACCACTAGTATGAGTTTGATGAAAAGTCAGGCTGCATCCAAAAGTACTAGTTATGGCTAGGAATAACTTGTGCTTGTGTTACAACTGATAATGTTAAAAACCAGTGCTTAAATGTATCACCAACCGATGCTGTGTCACAGATTGACCAGTAGTGTTGTAAACTTTATATCCAATAATGTGTCACCTGTTAACGGATAATGTTAATCCAAAAAATCTCCATCCAATAATGAATCACCTGCCAACGGATAATGTTACTTCCCAAAACTTCTAACCGATAATGTATTACCTGCCAACGGATACTGTATCAACGGTCAAAGTATTCAAAATTGACTGATAATGGATAAGTATGGGAAAGGTACATGTGTGTAAAAGTATAATTGTGTCACCCTAATGAAGTTTTGGGAGACACTTACTAGTACTAATTAAATTCTGTATGACAAGTTACCTAATAACCTCATAGGTGCGCCCATGTTGTAATTATGTTTTATAGACAAAATTGTGTAACTCTGTATCGAAAGATGATGTGCATTTGCTCATCACCCAACTAATTACCTTGTTTAACAGGGGATTCCTGTAGTGATTGCCCTCACAGACACAAAACTTTCATTGCGTTGACTGCTGAATGTATTTTCTAAAAACCTTCGCTCAAAATTTTATTTTGAAAATATGAAAAGGGGCGTAATCATACATGTCACCAACACATTCTAAGTCTGATGGGTAGAAAGGTTGGCCGTCACCAGTCAGGAATAATTTGGTTATATTAATTTCTTGTGGGTATAATCATTCTAAGAGGTTGCCATTGTCATTTAGGATTTTCGAGGGAGGAAAATCGGGTGTGACCTCAGCATTAACCAGCAGTGCTGTTCCCCTTTCTTTGCTTACGTAGTATGTGAAAGTTCAACTTGAGGATTGCAGCTCTGTTTGCTGGTGTCTTTTTCTGTGCTTGTTACCTTTAACTATTGGCACATCGTAACTCCCTTCGACCAGTCACTGTATGGTTGTGTACTATATATCTGAGAGAATCCATTACAACTCAGTGCCAATATTAACAAAAATGTCGCGAACGCGACAGTTTGACCACATGTGGTTGAAAATGCCATTTTGATATACACGTCCGAGTTAGACATCAAGTGACTTGTGTATGAGCATGTGTATGAAACTAGAGACTGGAAATGGTCGGACGGTAACTAAAACTGTGGACAAAACATACAGTGAACACAATTAACAGAAATACAATGGGACTCCAAAAAATGGTTTGGGTAACAATTTATTGTCCATAATTATCAGTCAATTTTGAATACCTTGCCTGTTGATACAGTATCCGTTGGCAGGTGATACATTATCGGTTAGAAGTTTTGGGAAGTTACATTATCCGTTGGCAGGTGATTCATTATTAGATGGAGATTTTTTGGATTTACATTATCCGTTAACAGGTGACACATTATTGGATATAAATTTTACAACACTACCTGTCAATTTGTGACAGAGTTTTGATTGTTGACACATTATCAGTCAATCAGTGATACATGATCGGCTGATGATACATTAGGCATTGGGTTTAATCCCTTGACGATGGGAACTTTTTTCTGAAAGCCAACTCCGAGAATTCCAGTCTCGCTCGGCCACGAAGGCCACCTGCCAAACCGCAGAGTCTCGGTTTGAGGCCCTACATCCTCTGCATGCTTTGAATTACACAGTGAAAAGGCTCATTGTTTGGTGGCATGCGGCTCTACTCACGCTTCAACATTCCCGTTGCCTCTTTTCAAAAAGGGGACTGTTGTGAACCTGGTGATTATGATGCAAATTCGGTCTTTTCATTTCTGGGCTACACACAAAGGCCAATCACGACAGCCAGGATCTGCCTTCTTTCACCGTGTTGGCTCGAGCATGGGTCGAGAATAATAGCTGAAAAGCGGGCTGAGGATCTCAATTTTTACGGCGGCTCTTACCATCATCTGTCACAAAGGGGTTTACATTATCAGTTGTAACAGCTTATATGAAAGTCACATGGCTACCAGCTGTAGCCACTTCCCATGGCAAAGAGTTTCAGATGTTATCGTGGTAATCACAGCTTCTACTCCAACTCACAAGGTGCCTAATAGGACACTCTCACTGATAAGATGTATGATGCGCGATAGTCTTGGGCTCAGACCATGGAGCCACACACACTACTTACGAACTAGGCAAACCCAAAGCTTTCCAGCCTCCAGCAGAGACTACCACACTAACAACCACCTTATACAGTGCATGTTGTTACCGTTATGTCATTTGATAAAGAATCCACAGATAGTTCATGAAAAAATAAACCTCAATGGCTTAATTTACAACTTTCGATGTAAAGTTGGTAACAAATGCTTGCCCACTGCAATGGTAGCCAATCTTGTGGAAACTGTGTGGTACTTTGATGTCTTTTTGAGTTTAGACCAGACTAAACACAGATTGTTTCATCTTGGATATACCTCATACTCTTCTGTCTTGGATACTTTCATCAGTTGAGAGTAATCACTTGCCAAATATGTAACAGCAAGAGTGAATTAATGTCACTCAAGTGTAACTTTGAACATCAGTTGCATCTAATTTATGAATTACTGTGTGGCAAAGGATGTAGGGCATTCCTGACGACAATTCAGCAACCTCTGAACATCCGATAGGAGAGATCACAATAACGAAAGGGTGTACTGCAAAGATGTGATTCCATTTTGGAAAAATATGTAAAACATTTTTGACTCATTAGCACAATTTAACACATTAACAGTTAAACTCTTTTTGTGGGAAACTGGACATGCATTTTTTCTCACCCCCTTGCACTGGACGTCATGCATCCCTTGAATGTCTAAAAAGGTCATGGAACTCTTACCAATTGATTGATAGAACCCTTCCCCTGTCTCCAAGCTAATCTTGTACTTGTGCCATGGACACACAATACAGCTGATTCCATTGATGTCCTGAGTAAAACACAAGGATATTAAAAGCAAAATAGATATTCTAGAATATTTTATTAGAATATTAAGCATAATTACATTCATTTATTAAAGCTTGTATGTTTCTACATCACATATGGATCAATATTGTTAAGAAACAGTGAAATTTTTCATGTAGTAGAAAAACCTTGGTTACAGTAAGGTGAATTCATTCAAAGTGAATAAAATTAAATTTACAATTTCAAAAACTTGCTTTACATTGATCCAATAATCTGTACCGAACAATATCAAGATTTTCCAGAATGTTTGAAAAGAAACAAACCTCTATATTTCCAACATCAAGTGGTCCACCAGCATCTGCAAATTGTCAAAATACTTAATGACCTTGGTGACAATGTAATCTGAACACAATGTGGTCAGGTCTCAGGCACTGAGCACAAGACTCGTGCATTTCTGGCCTTCTAGCCTTTTTATCTGGAAAAGGGCTAGGGAATAATTTTAATGACTGTTGTCAGAGCAGTGATATCCAGTGCTTTATGTGCACAGGGCAGATGTAATCTGAACAAAACCAGCTTCCAGGCTTACGGCTATGCCTTGTCTCACACTCAGCTAGGACTCAACTTTGGAAGCCCTGGGAGCGATGAACAGCTAACCAAAATTAGAGGAAAAGTTGAAATCATATGGAGTTAGGGGCACTTGTAGAAACAATCTGGCACCAACACAATCTCTCAAATAAGATAGTACATTCCATCTGTCTGACTCACGGTAACAGTGGAAGTCCATTGCATAAAATCTCCTGTCCCGATAGAATACTGTAATTTTTCGATTGGAGACGAGTGCAGTCTTTCGTCCAATCTCCTGTAGCTCAACCTCAGTTGCTATGGCAACCCATTCTGATGATGCAGAAGAGGCAGATGTTGGATCTTGAGCTGATGCCTCCATCACCTGGGTTTCAAGTCACTGCAGCAGTCTTACTGCTTCCAACATGAGTTTAAAGTGACCTGCATTTGGCGGATTCAAAAACGTAGGAAGCTGGTAGAAATGAAAGTTTGATGGTTTCTTGTGTTGCCAGCTTTCCTTGTAGATCTGGCTGATTTTAGAAGGCAGATCTGTTGAAATGCATCTTCTGGCTGGCCAACAGTACAAAAAATTCTCCTAAAAGCCTCCAAGCCACTAAAACACAAGATAATAAGTCCTTGAAATAAACACAACCTATGCATAAGCCTCCATACATTTGCTTCCAGTGTCTCAGCAAAAAAGTGCCCCACCCTGTAGAAATTTCCCCCAGTTACAATTTATGGCACAACATGCAGTGTCTCTAACACAAAATACATTTTGACCTTGTATCCTGACACCCAGCACATAACATGACATTTTTACTGTGAATGCTCTTTTACGCTAATTTTTTGTTTACTAGACATTTTCTCTTCCCTTTGCTACAAGTAACCCTCTTACCCCAAACGCCTCGTTACCTGTTTTTAACAGAGAAACCCTAATCATGTAGCACACAGAGGTTTCACACAACCTGCACTATGAATGAATCTTCATCATATCAATACACTTTTTCGTACAAATAACTACCAGAATCAGCTTCTGTGTGTCGAATTCAGACACAGTATTTTCCAACGTCCAACCACCAAGTGAGTGAGGCTCCTGTGCCGTGCCAACACCCATTATAGACCACAACATTACTCATGACACACAGACCGACAACGTCTTCCGTAATTGTAGAATGTGTATGCATACATACAGGGGTTAGAGCCACTGCGTACGCTATGCATATGGGGAGGTCTGAAAAGTCGGCATTTCATGCATGTGTCCTTTATTATGGGGCAGCATGGACATCACGGGTTCTCGCAAAACAGCAGGTACCGCACCGGCACAGTGAAAACAGCGCCAAGGCGATGCACGCACACACACAGCCAGTCCTAGGATCGGGTGACACAATCTTTTCTTTAATCAGTACGTATGCGCATGCTCGTTGCAGTTGTTTTCCTCAGCGGGGTGTGGTTGCTACCCATAATTTTGTGGAACTCCCCGATGTCAGTGCTGCCCCGTAGACGGCCCCTAAAACCATGTGGATAGATCCCTTTTGGGGAGGACGACCACAGCATACTGGTCAAAATGTCGAGTACACGCTCACCAGTACTTATCAGAACCACACCTGTTCCAAAAGATATCTATCGATCACATGGGGGGGGTGTCACCGCAAGCCCTCTCCTTACCTTGCTTAGTCTGCAGAGTGCAGGCACAAAAATAGAAAAACACAATTCATGAATGGAGTTCACACGCACTCCCGTAATTCCCTTCACATGTCTCGAAATCCAATAAGCCTTTTCTTTATCACCGCTAATCCTGGCTTCAGCCCCGACGTTACCAACAATGGATACCGCACATGTTAAGTAAGCCTGCATATGCAACACGTTCCTTCAACTTGTCAAAGCATTCCAACCTGCAGCTTTACCTACTTCCGCCAACAGATTTTTCGCGGGGTTTTGTCTGGCATAAAAATCCCTTTAAATACGCCCTCAACGTCACAAAACATATTTACGACTGTTATATGAATATAAAATTGTATTCATACAACAATCGTCGATAGAACACGTATCTACCAATTAGAATGCTTCTTTGCATCACATGACAACACACCGCCAAGCTTGAGAAGAATAATGTTTGTATCAGGACAGTCTGTTGATTTGATAATTTTTGTTGGATTGGCGAAAGGCCTAGTACTAGGCTACGTAATAAAATTAGCAAATTAAACATCATTTCTGAAAAGGCTACGAATGGATCACCAACCACTGGAAAACAGCAGTACTAAAGAGCTGACAGATGTACAGCAAAATTTTGAAAAACGGTAGGCCTAGGCTGTTTAACAAAACGTTAGACCTATCTGGTTATTGTTGACGTTGCATGGATGGAGTATGTGTAGGCCTACTAAAATCATAGCAAAAGTAAAATCATAGCAATTATATTATAGCAATTGCAATCATAGCAGTCAAGTGAAAATACACACATTGAATATGTGGAATTTTTAGGTTTATATGTAGATGAGAGACTCCGATAAGCCTTATCGCAAATACTGCATGGGTGGTTTTGCATAATACTAGGCATGCTAGGTAGAAAGGCATTGTGGGAAGGAAAAGGGGGCAATGTTTGCTCCTTTTTCCTTTCCACAATGCCTTTCTACCAAAATCACCCCCGCAGTATTTGCGATAAGGCTTAGGCTGTGGAAAAAGCACATTAATGATATAGATGTGCAATTATTTCTACAAAAAATGGTGTATTACGTAAACTGAAAACATTCTTCCCTCAAGGCATATTGTACATACTTTATGATACCCTAAAATTACCTTAATTAAATGGAATATTAGCTTGGGACAATTGTAGAGTTTGTCAAACAAACAGAATACTTTAAATATACATGTCCGACATGGTGCAACCCCAGAGCGAAGCTCCCCCAATCCAGTGCCATCCTCTATTTGGAATGAAGCAGACACTACAATAAAACAACTTTTAACGCCTGTTAACTCTGGTCTAGGTGCTGGGCTGATTAGTTCTTCTGAAGCAGCTGTTGTTTTCAAGAAAATTCTGCCTGAAGTTTTAACGGATAAGGATCTTATGGGGCATAAGAAACCTGCACACAATATCAATGGCGGACAACATTGTGTACGTTTATGTGAAAAACTAAAACAACAAATAACCCTACAAAAAGCCAATGCAGATGTAACATTTCTTCTGATCCCAATGCCTTCCTGCAAGCAATCAGACTTCACAATCTTGCGTTGAAAACTGCAAGAAAGGACAGTGAGTACAAGACAGCTTGTAAGCAAAATAAGGCATTCAGGGAAAACCCTTTCAACTTTGCCAAAACGGTATGCAAGCCAGGAAATACCTCGAACACAGTTGTCTTCTTTTTATAATTGTAAAGCTCTTAAATTAGATGATATTTATTCTCTTTATCTCGGGACTTTCATGCATCAATTACATAATAATCTGTTACCTGAATTTATCTGTGCTACTTTTGTATGTTTATAAGAAACGATGAAGTGCATGGTCACTTCACTATACAGTGCACTAAATTTGATCAATCTTTTGCTCGTACCACTGCTACTCATGTGTCATGGGTCTCAAGTGATCTCTGGATGTGGAATTGCAATGAAGAGGAACAGTCAAAGAAAAAAAAAATCTGCTTAAAAGAACATTCACAGTAAAAAATGTCATGTTATGTGCAGGGTGTCAGGATACAAGGTCAAAATACATTTTGTGTTAGTGACATAAATTGTAACTAGGGTGAAATTTCTGCAGAGTGGTGCACATTGTATAGAAAATGTATCGAGGCTTATAGGTTCCAAATGTTCATTTCATGACTTATTCATTATCTTGTATTTCAGTTGCTGTGGGGGTTTTCATCAGAATTTTCTGAGCTGTAGGCCAGCCATACTGTAGTTTGTCATCAGCTGATATTAAGCTTGACTCAAATAAGTTGCTCAGTGAAATTTGCGAACTCCTGAAGTTGTTGCACAGGTTGTCAAATTTTGGCTCAAAGTACACATATATATATACCGGTATGTAGCTAGACTTGTTGGTGTGTTGCATCTCAACTTTGTTCCCTGTGTCCACTGTCTACTTCTTTTTTTCCTTTTTTTGCCAACAGATTCAGTTGTCCGATCTGCTTGGACCCCAAGCTGAAAATGGTGGTGTCAGTTTGTCAACACAGGATCTGTTCTGACTGCTTGTATGACCAAGACAACAAGCTGCACAAGGCCATGCAAAATTGTCCCTCTTGCAAAAGGCAGAATGCATTTCCAGAAGACAGGTGTGTTGAAGTCTATTTGAGTAATTTGGGCCAACTAGACGCATTTTTATGGGCAATCTCTACTTAAGACCCTGCTGCACTGCTACTATAAAACAAGTCTCCAACTGCCTAAATTGGGGAGAATTTCTTATTTTGTGTCCTCCTCCCCCAGCTGACTCCTTAAAAACCAACTCCAATGATTTTAACAGTTTTGAAAATAAATTATTATTGTGTTTAGTGTGTACTAAATCATATCTATTCATTACCAAATCATGTCTGTATTGCATACTGTATTTTGCCGAAACTTTTGAAATGTGTCTTCGAGTTTTATGAAATATTTCCACTATCTGACCGCTGGCGGCACTGTTGAGAAATGAAATTTGTATGATGTTAATACCGGAGAAAACATTGAAACTGGTATCCGTGACACAACTGGTCCCGCGTACATGTACAGTACATGAATGTGGAGCTACATGTGCATGCACCGCGTACCGGGAATCAATCTGTGTACCAGGTCCCCTGTGCCACATTATCTCTTTTCCGTTAAGAGTTTGTGCTCCTTACATGGTTTACAATAATGCAGAAATCCTGCATCATTGGTGGATTTACTAGAAATTCTGCCAAAAAAAACCTGGATAGAAATTCTTTTAGTTTCCGAAGAATGAGAGCATTCTTTAAGTTTGTGCTGTTGTCCGCAGCTATGTGAGCTATGCATGCCTAAATCGCACGCACTTTGGTATTTCCTCTCCGTGGTAATACATCACTGAAATCAATATTCATTAGATGTTAATGAGTCGTGACGACGCATCTATATTTACAATACTGGAATGGACTCGCAGGAAAACTGTGTTTTTTTAACACAAAAACGTGTACTGCAAGGGAGGTATTGATGTGTGCCACTTTTATTAGACTTGACTCTTCTGAATAGGATTCAATATGAGAAAAATTCTGCATTGTTTGAGTTGGCCTTTAAATACTCAGCCCTTCATTTGTATAAAAATCAAAGGAAGATTCCCTGAGACTGCAGAGGTGAGTTTGGACTGATACGCACCTTTTAAAGAAATTTTAAAATTGCAGTGAAATAAAAGGTGCAAGTGTCCTAAAAGTAATTGTTGCTCTTTTATGCACAGTGGGTTGGGCAAAAACCTGCATGTTGTAAATGTGTCAGGTAAATTTTAAAAGATGACATTTGGAGTGCATTTACATGTACTTCCTGATTCATTTAACAAGAGAATTCAGTTCTACCTGAAAACAAAACATTGCAAAGGAGTACCTGTCACATTGGCAGTGTGCATGTAGTGGCACAGTAACCATGTCATTATACTTTTCATTCGAAGTTGCAAAGAACAAAATGCAGAGGAGATCATTAACATCCATACTTTTCAGATTAAAATTGAATTCAACCAATGCTTTATATATCAGCAAGATTTCTAGTTTAGTTTCAATCCATTTAGAGTCTACAAGAAATTTGGATGTCAGGCTTTTTTGGAGATTTTCAAGTAGCGGCAAATACATGTATTTGTTAGATATTGGGAAATGCTGCTAGTTGGAGGGTAACTCGTTCTGCAGGTCAGTTTACAGCATTCTACAATGCATGCATGCTTTTTTCCAAACTTGATTGGGTAACAGTTGGCAGACTGCATTGGAGTCTTCAAACCTGAGACTCCTTGCCCAAGTTTTAGAGTAATGAGTCTTTGTTCCTAATCTCTCGTGGGCAGTTCCATGCAAGCGTGGAAATTGGTCTTGCTGTTACCAATCCTCTTATTGTCTGAAATTCATACAGAAGTTCTACAAACATTGAAAAGTGGCAGTATAAGTAATAGAGTAATAGGTAGTAATGTTGCCTTTGCTTTTTTTCATTTGAAAAAATTTGTTTACGAATAAGAAAAAGGTGCCCACGCTTTCATGCGTAGGTGTCTTGGCCATGAGTAACAGTAGTTAAGCTTTGATCAGCAGATGCAAGTCTCAAAACCGTCCAAAAGTGCCAATAGTTTACCTCATTATGAGATATATTATATCTTGTGTCTTTGAATCCAAACTCGGGTACTTCTAAGAACAGAATTCATTTTTCGTTGATAGTATTCTGCTTCATATTGCAATACACCAATGTACGAGTTAACATATCGTTCTAACAATTCTGAAGTGTTTTAGAACAGCAAGTCACAGACAGTAAGTTTTCAATGTCATTTTTTTTCTCAAGTCACCAAAAAGTTGTATTCCTGATAGCATGTGAAAATAGAGTGCATGGTGGTCATGTTTTTCGACATTTTCCCTCATTTAGACCTGATATACCTGAAGATGCCATTCTGATTCAGCGACACCTCGGTGTGACTGAGTGTCCCTTGGATGGCTGTAAGGCTGGACTTTGGATATGGGATGTTGAGAAACACATTGAGTGAGTATTACGTGCATGTCTTTATAAGAGTATCGTCAACCCTAACGGTCCTCAATCCTCTAATGAGAAAATATAGAAAAGCTAGTTTCTGTTTTCAGCTGAAGAGTTGAGGACTATCAGGGTAAAAATAGCTTTTATGTATTTTCTTCTGCTACTTGGTTTCAGATCCTTCGTGGCTTCACCCTAAAGAGCCATGCAGCTTTTCAATATGGTCTCCCTTATTAGTTACCATTTTAGCAAAACATTTCCCAACCTGTTTACTCAGACTTTGTATGTGTCCTCAAAAATTTGAGTAGTACATTGAGTAATAAGCTGTGAGTACAATGATGTGGCCGTATCCTAGTTGAGATGAATGTTCACCTCAAATAGTCCCATTCTGGTTTTGTATGTGTTTACACAACTGACCAAGCGTGCGAAGTCTGCTTGAATCCGCCTTTTCTCACACAAAGTCTCACACAATTTGACATTTCTTCACTGTTTATATTCTGATATCCAGTTAAATAATGTGCTTAGACTGAGTCAATTCTAATGAGTCACTGTTCAAATATTTGACTTTGAATTCGATTGAATATCCACATATTCAGTCGTACTGACCAGCAGATTTTGATGAACAGCATATGGAAACGGTCGACAAATTTTGCGCATTGTGATTGGCCAACACGTTGAAAATTCTTGGAGGCGCACCATTGTGAATCGTCCGTACTGAACATAGAGATGAACATGTTATGCTAAGGTGAAACGTGCATTAAACAAGATGGTAATGCATTATCCGTATATTTATACATAAATTTACTTAAACAAAATTTGTACAAATCGTTAAAACGTAGAATTGTAAGTTGGGCAAAAAATGGAGCAGTATGATCAGAATAACCAGTCTTATCAATGATACGTACAGCTCTTTTATGCAACTTCAGGATTTGTTTAACAATAGATGTAGCCCCACCCCATGTAATAATGGAATAGTTCAAGAACAAAGGAATTATATGCAAGGGCAAGCAAAATACGGCTTGGTGAAGAAAACTTGAAGCCATTTATTATGCCAATATTTTTTTAATCTTTACTTGCTACATCATTACAGTGGTCCTTTCAAGTTAAATGCTAGTCAATAATACCTACAAATCAAGTGCATTTTGATTGTTTCAGGTTTGTACCATTTACAGCAATTGGAAGATCATGTAATTTAAGTAAATGAATGCATAGTTTGTTGGCTAAAAGCCACTCATTTATATTGATAAGCTCTCCATTGATACTTGAATGGCTGTATCAACATTAGTGTGACTAGATGTAACAGGCTGGTGTCATCAGCAAAAAGGCGAAAAAGATATATCTGATGTATTGCAGTATTACTGATATAAAGCAGGGGACCCAGGGTCCAGGGGACTCTGCAAGATATAACATAAGCATCCTAGTTAACCCAATTATATGGAACAAACTGTTTTCTATTACTTAAATAGCTTTTAAACCAGTTTAGCGCAGTCCCGCGGACACCATAATGTTCCAGTTTACAGATTGAAATATCAGTTGCAATAACGCATACAGTTGTATACTGTAATCTTTATAAGAGCTTCTTACTTTGAGAACTATCTCCAGCCTCGATTTAGCAAGATTTAACAGATGAACAATACTTTTTGCCCCGTAAAAATTTCTATTCCTTTAAATTAAATTTTTTCATAAATGATTTACTTTTGAATCGTAAGATATACATGTATTCAGTCACTTTTCATTTGAATCTGCTTGAAACAAGCCTCCATAGTGCAATTTTCCCCATTTAAAACAATAGAAAATTTTTCTCCTTTTTATGAATTTGCATTCAAATATTCAAACTCGGAAAATAATATTGGAATATTCGATAATCGATTGAATATTTGGATTTTTGACATAGCACTGAGTGCAAGTGTACCCAGTGGTGGCAAATGTGATGTGCCACCAATGGGTTCACTTGCACCCATCACAACCTTGTTCAGATTGAAGGCACATTAGCCAGTGACACTTTTTGTATCCTCATAAGCATGATAAGCCTGTCGCATGGATTTGTTTATTTTTTCTCAATAGATCTTGTCCGTATGCTGTAGTTTCACCAAAACCTGGTGCCAAAAGGGGACGGAAGCCAACCCCAAAGCAGGCAGAAAATGCCAGCACGTCGCCGGTGGCAAAACGACAGAAGCAGGCCCCACTACCCAGCACCTGCTCCAAATCACCCAGCGAGGAGGACGCAGCATCCACCAGCCGAGTCACCCGGAGCAGTTCCAGCGCAGGTCAGGTTCAGCAGCCCTGCCGGTATCCACTGAGGTCAACCAGCCAAAGACAAATCTCCAAAGAACAGAACTACCAGTATCGCAGCTTAGACTACAGCTACCAAGCCTGTGACTTTGGCAGACACATGCAGCAGCACATGACTGGAGTTCCTCTTAACCAGTGGAATCATTTTGTCCACGTAGCCCAGAGAGGGGACCATATGTGGCAGCAGTACTATTACTCATACTGATGATCTGCCAGAAAATGAATTAAAAGAAACTGAATTTTTTTTCCAAAGTTCAACTTGTACTGTCAAACTTCCTTGATGCTGATGCACCTTACAAAGAAGGGTTTACATTGATATGTACTGGTTTGTTACCACATGTTGTGGTGTGGCCAGAAGACTCCAACCATAAGCCTGACATTGGTTCTTTTGGGAGTAAAAGCTAGTTTTTCTCAACTCTTTGAACTTCATTTCGAAAAAAAAGATCAGAGAAGTTTAAGGCAAGGACCATGGAGACAAAGGGACAAAAATTTGACTGTCCTGTTGCATCTCAGATTCTTTCAAACTATGCGTTTATAGAAGTTTATAGCACCAACTCAGATATTATGCCCCAGAAATACTACCCTACGCAGTGCTTTGCTCGAAAGCAGAATTGCGATATTTTAAAAATCTGCCAGCATCGATGTAATGTAGCAACAGGGCAAAGCCACAGGGTCTGTGCATCCTTAGGTGTAAAAAACACTTCCTACCCTATGCCACAATAACCAAATCTGAACTTTTGTCTCTTCAAGATGTCAGAATTGGTTATTTTCTTGAACATTAGGCATTGCAGAGTTTGGTTTTGTTCAATGCGTCATTATTAAATACCATGCACATTGTGTACTTGCATGTGACCACATCCCGCAGATTCAGTCTTAAGGTCATTTTTGTCAATAATTTGGATTTAGTTTGCATTAGACACAGCAACCTGAGCTGCTTGTTTTGATGTACGTGCATTAACAAGTTTAGTATCCTTATATGAAAACGGACATTATGTGGGTAAAATGTATTGATGGTTCTTAGTGAGTTAGTGCGCAGGATTCCTTCAAAAGCCTTTCACTCAAAAGTGGCTCTTGCGACTTGTGCCTCATTTTAAAGGATGGGTTATATATAGTCTATATGAAAATCTAGATCTGGAATTAAACATTTCTGTTGTCCTCGAAGACTTCCCACATCTCACCACTTACAAATAGTTTCTGCCATGTTACAAATAAAAATGGCCTTGACCTTCAGAGATAAAGTTCCAGGCCTGTAAATGTATTATTTGTTGTACAAAGAATTATTTATTGTAAAAAGAATTGTAAAAAAAAAAATCTAGAATTAATTAGCAGAATTTACTTGTACATGTAATAGGTTGTGAATGCTGTATCAGTTGTATTGTTGAATTTGATCTGTCTACAAAGGAGTGACATAAGCAACGTGCTCTATTTGTTTTTTGTTTTGTTTTTTCAGTGAAGTAAGTTTTAGTGGAATGTCTTGCTCATAGCCTTTCTTTTGGCCCATCAAATTTCAAGGTGTGTTCGATTCTTTTGGAGAATCGTTGTGGCCTCCCAGCGTACGTACATGTACAAGATCCTTAAAAACACTTCAAACAAAACAAGATTTCATGAGGTACCAGAAATCCAAATTTGTGGAAAACATCTAATTTGTAAAAGAAATTTTGTGGTACCATGGAAAGAGGAGAATGAGCAGTCGCCTGTTACAATTTCACAGTTACAGTGTTAAATGCTCTGCCCATACACAGCTTCTTGGCAAGTATAAATTTACATGTCTAACAGCTGTCTGTGCAATGATTCTGATCGTCATGAACTGATGAATAGTGTAATGTGGTAAACATCATATCATTACAGAGAGGTATCTTTACTCCCTTGCCATTGTCAAACATGTATTTAGGATGGAATTTAATGAAGTACACGCACACTGTGTCCATTAAATTTAACAAAACTATATAGTTGCCAGCTTCCCTGAAGTGGTACTTCTTTACTAGCGTATCTGCTTTGTTGTGTGCATCTAAAATTCAACATGCTATTAGTTTGGACAGTGAAGTTCACTGGGGTAGGAATTGAGCCAACATCGGAACACCATACTGGTGTCCTGCCAACTGATAAGCTTTACCCCATTTTAAAACAATCTAATTTGAATTACATACACATGCATGCAGTTGTAGTCGGAGAAACACAATTACTTGGTAAGGGTGCCTTCAGATTGGTCTAAAGCCCTTTGTCATCGAGTAGAATATTTATTTTTTACTTAACACATTTTTGCAAAATTTAAGAATCCTCATTGCTTAAATTAGCAGTATTCTCTGAAAATGGCAAATTAGGCAACTTTCCCTCCATTTTATCAATCACAAAAAGCAAAGACGGCTATAAAACAAATCTACAAGGTGTATTCAGTTCACAATCGGCTTGGCAGAGTTCCAACTTTCAGACTCCAGAAGCAAAACTGACAAAACAGAACAATTGTCTTTTTTTCATACGTTTAATCCTCAAATATTACTGTCTAATGAAAGTCAATTCTACTCATGTGTTCTTCACCTCAGAGTTTCATTATGAAAAGTTTACTATACTTGGAATGTACGTAGCAGTTTGCATTAAGCACCAAGATGTTTGATGGTTTATTTAAGAGGAACCACTACCCAGTTGATGGGGGACTTTGACACCACTAACACCTGTGAAATTACTGAGTGCAAGTACTTCTGCCCAGTTGGACACAAATCAGACCTTTCCAAAATGCGAGTGGAATTTTGCTTTTCACACTCTGTGCAGAAATTTATTAGTGCAACCAAGGGCTCTAATCTGTGGGTCATTTGTAGTCTAGCTTCCTATGACTTCTTTGAGGTGAGCAAACATGTCACAGGCACAGGACCGTGCCTGGCTATTAAAAAGCCTCATTCTCATTGCTGTGTTAGACTAGGCTAGTACAAAGCTACAACAAAATTGCCCAAGTGCTACTGAGAAAAATTATACATTTATGCACAAACAGGTTTTTTTTTCATTTAGGAAACAATATAAAAAATTCTGAGGGTCACTGTGATATAAACTCTTATATAGACACTGAAAGTTATAACAAATCTGTAAAAACCAAGTCAAAACACAAGATTGACCGCAACAAAGAATCCAGGGAAATGTTCTACAAAATGACATGTTTAAGGATTAAGAAACGTCACCTGGCATGAACTACTCGACAATGCCATTTTGAAATGTACAGGTAATTTGTGACTAAATTTGTTTCTTTCATAAAGCAATCTATGCACTTATCTATGCAGTACAAAGAAACAGCAAGAGTAGATTATAAGTGGCTTATAAAGACAGCAATGATTTCAGTACTTAAATCTATACCATGCATCGGAGGTAAACTTCAACCTGCCTCCCCTAATGTTTTCAGATTTTCATACAAAATTTACCCACACCTTAAGGGATGGAGTTGAAGTCTAAATTTCTACTCACTCTAATGGTAAAGAAACAAATCTGCAGGTTTGAGGAAATCACAATTTCAAAATATGAAAGGGTATGAACTTGGGGGTTGGCAAAGCTAAACTAATCAAGCAACACTAATGAACAAGTCATTAACAAGCATCAACAATGCCCAACATCCAGCAATATTCTAAGCTAACATCTGAAAGACTACGCTGGAAAATTGGAGTTGTACATGTAGGTTTTGCAAAAAGACTTATAATTTGTCCTTAAAATAATCTATAGCCGTACAAAGTTCCAGTTGCAGATAGATACATTATGCCAGCTTGAAGTCAAAATTACAATTGCTACGTTTAATTTGTTTTCAGAATTTCATAATAAAATATTTGATAAAAATATTCTAATACACTGGCCAAACAAAAAACTTGATTCCAAATAAAGCTATTCTTGTAAATTTACAAGGTACATTTACAGCAATTACGTACAGTACTGTTTTGTTTTTGTATCAATAGTCAAACAATAGTTAACTATTAAAATTACATTTTGAAACCAATCACCTTCAATGTTCTTCAAGTCGGCTGAGAAAGTAAAATAATGACATTAGAGAAGGATCTTTAACAGCATTCATTGTACTCTTTTAACACCTGTCTGAATTTGTGTACTCTATTGCTGCGTCTGAAAGTCTGACTTTGGCTGACAAGAATGGGTGCACCTATGAAAGGTATTAGATATAAGCTGAATCCACTTCCCCAAGACACATGTGTTACGCCAAGCCGCAGCCAAAACTCTGGGACTCAGCTCATGAATTGCACAGTCTTGTCACTGCTAGTGACTTATGCATCCCGTCTAATTCAGTAGCAACAGCTCTTACAGACATTGATAACACCACACTTTGTTGACTTTTGTATTTTCCTACGGTACCTAGTGGACCATGGGCCCCTTTCTGGCTCCAGAGTGAAGAACGAAGTGTAATGTCATTGGGGTATTGGCCTTATGGACTGTGCATGAATGTCAGATTGCACTGTGACCAAGAAAAGCAAAGGGCACTTACATGACACTTGTTTGTTCACCATGATATCCATTTACTTTTTAGACTAAATACCTGAAAATGGCAGGGACATGGGAAGTTTCATCTTCCTTCTGTTACATCTTAAGGCTGTAGGCCAGAACCAGGGGCAAGAGAGGCAAGAGCTTTTCCTCTTGCAAGTTGGAGGCACTGTCATCAGATGTTCCACATGTCTGCCACACAGCAACAAATGGTGGGATTTTCTTGTGTGAGCAAAAACTGTGGTACTCGGTGCATGTGCACACACATGTGACTCAAAATGAAGTGAAAGTGAGGTGGTCTTTTCCAATTTTGTTTGTGTAACCACTGAAAGAGTTTCTACAAACATGTCAAGGTTAGAGGACCCGTTCCTCATTCTGTACGACATGACTACCTGACTCCTTACACAATGTACATGTACAGTGTATGCGCCAGCCAAACTTCCTTGCAAAGGCGTGAATTGTCTGCCACAAACAGTGGCCTTTGGCAGCCAATGCAATTGCACAAACTGGAAGGTCACAACATTCTCCATCTCTTCCATAGCAACAGAAATTGACAGTAGAATGTTGGGCCCAATTTCCTGGCTACGCTTACCATAGAATTACATGGATAGCAGAGGATCCACCTTCCCTGCTGACAGGAATTTTAGCACTTATCACAAAGGGGTGTTAATATAAGCTATTTGAGTCATATATTGCCAGCCAATGTGAAATGCTGTTAATGCAAGACTTTATTCGATAAAGTAAAGATACTTTTAGCAAGAAGAGCTCTTACACTGGTCCTGGTCCACTGAAATAATATCTTTAACTTCCAAGTTAACAGACCAACAACTTTCAGGCATAGAATCAAACCAAATGTGATCAATGCAACTGCCATTCATCAGCTAGGCTTCCATTCATATTTTTGTTTGTTTTTCTTTTTTTTCTCAAAGTTCAAGGTACAACTATCTTACAATTTAAAGAGAACAGTTTCTTACTTTGTGGTTCTGGCAAGACTTGAATCCTCCAAAGCAATGGTCCCAAATTAATGAGACCTGATTTTACCAGTAACCCCAGACAACAGTGACTAACAAGTGTTTCCCTGACTCGAGCATTGCAAAAGTAGGCTGCATACGAAAGTTTGGCAGCACCCGGTGGCTAACAGACAAATCTATGAGAAATGGCTGCAGATGCTAGATGCCAACTTCTATAAGTCAACACTTTGGGATGAGGTCCTAAAAGAGCTTGGGTTTTAATTTGGATGGGGAATGATTTCAGCTGTCCCATAAGTCCATCTTACACAGGGTTTTCTTATGGTCATTTGAAGTCTAAACTATGGCCTCATGCATGTCAGCCTGCATGCATTGAGCACAACAATGGGTAAAAGTAGACTTTCTGAATGATCTGTCATGAGAAAAATAAAACCATTTTGTGGAAACAGTAAATGTACATACATTTATGTCTGATTTTCACGAAACTGGTGTCAAAATGGTTGCAAGACATTGAAGGCTTAGGACATGAAAAACTATGTCGACGATATTAAAAAAAGTTGGGGGTGGGTTTTACCACCCACCCCTGGCTCTTTTAGGGTTAAGCTGACCATGCTTCATAGTTGTTTACTTTACATGCAGTCAGGCCTTGCTGGTAAAACATACAAGAAAATCGAAGATGGTTTACTTCAATTGTGCGATCTGGTTTGGCTGGATTTCTCTTCAGATGCTTCACTGGTCACTGTATTGGGAGATTCTAGTCTTGCCAAAATGTCCTATGAAAATTACCATCGTTAACAATCTAAGACACGTTTGTAGAGAATTCATATACACATTCCCTTGGCCCCGTTTGCATATACATCAAGCATTGTCATACCCATATATAGTTTACATACAGAACATTCACGGCAGTTGCATTTAAAATACACCACAAAATGTGTTTATACAGACAAATTCACTTTCCTATATATTGCTATAATATACAAGTTTCTTCCTTAATTATTTCTTAACTCTGAAAATAACATCTCTTTCGGTTAAACTTGAGACAATTATTTTGAATATCAACATCAATGCTGTATGATTCTCTACAATACCGATACATTTTTCCGCAAGCTTATTTGGAAATAATAATTATACTTTACAATTTTCTCTTTCAAATATTCTGTACAAGAATAAAGCTGAATATACTGTGGGGAACAGTTCCTTACTACAGTGGGAAGTGACTGTAACTTCTTTGCATGATATACTGGTTCTTAAGAACACAATTAAAAAGAAACAGTCCACACAAAATCAAAATATATTTTCCGGTTAAAATCTTTACAAAAAATAAAAGACTTCTTTGTCCGACTGAATATGAATTCAATGTAATGTTTGGTTTAGTAATCTGTGCAGTCTCGCTCCTGTTATTCAGTCCAGTGTATTTCCGTTTACGGCTGTGTACCAAATTAGACTACCTTTAAGAACATGAGTAACGTGACAAGTTTTTTCAAGCATGTGTTTCTTTTCTTGTGCCTTTTCGTGGTGTTTCCTCCCACCACAACCCCCTTCCTCGGTTCATACTCACTTTCTCACTCTGACAGAAAATTTTCCACATGCCTAAAATTGAGAGGTGTGTGGGTGGGGGTGTTTGTCTGGTGTAACCAGCAATGAATATCAAGGTGCAGTGTGAGGTTGCGTAAGTCCACCCTTTCTTGACTTATTAGGTGGCAGCCCATGGTGCCTGCTTCCACTCTCACAAGGGAACCGTGCAGACAAGAATATCAAAATTCAACCCCTCCGTGCAAACTGACCAATGAGCCAATTTCCAGTTACACACATTTTGCGACGATTCAAAATGGGTTCTCTACACATTTTGCGACGATTCAAAATGGGTTCTCTACCCTTGCCAGTAATTCTACGCAAATTACTGTCGAGGGCAAAAGGAGCATTCTTCTTATGCCATCCTCAGTGAAATGAGACAGAGCAAGTTACACTCTATGCCTTCAGCAGTTACCCCACTTGCTGGACCCTGAACTGATCTCACGGATAGGTTACAGTCCCAAGTCCAGAGCTGATGTGGGTTCCGATTGAGTTTAAATAGGTACCCAGTGCAGACCTGGTACCCAGTGCAGACCCGCTACCCAGTGCAGACCCGGTACCCAGTGCACACCCGGTACCCAGTGCAGACCCGGTACCCAGTGCACACCCGGTACCCAGTGCACACCCGGTACCCAGTGCACACCCGGTACCCAGTGCAGACCCTCCATTGCATCACATGGGCAGAACACTGCTTATGGATTACTTGTATCCCAGGACAAACTTTAGTTTGTAAAGCCAGATAAAAGTATGGTCATTGCTGCATATTCCTTCACACAAAGAAATATCAAATTATAAACAATTGAAACCTGCAACAGACCACTGGTTGGTAAATGTTTATCATCTGTCCTTTTTTTTACTGTCCTATAACGTCACTTTTTGTCACAGTCAATAAATGTACATGTACTTTGCACAAATTCAAATTCAGTCTTGGCCTTTGTCTCTGGCAGGAAGCAAAAATGTTCCATCATGTTGCGTGCATACCACAATTTTTTTTTTTTTAATATATATATATAGTACATATACCAGTATATATATCGTTCTGCTGCATAGAGTAAAAACTAGTGAAGTGTATCCTTAATCATTAAGGAAATGGCAGTTGAACACCACAAAATGCAATCACCAGTCACATTTTTGTTTTCTTCTGACCCCAACTTGTTTCCTGTCATTAACTTTGCTTTTCACAGCACTACCATGGTGAAATTTCCATGCTAGTCCAAGCAGATTTCTGATTTTTCCATTTTTTTTCCCCTTGCGAATATTAACTTTTGCACAATTCAGCAATTGTGGACCATTCAGTGCCATGGACCAAATGCAACGGATTTTGCTTAATACAATAGTTTGGAATGTAATGATGATTTTTTTTGCTAATACGCAATTCACATAGAGTATTGGACTTACATCAGACTACATCCCCGATGTAGATCTTTAAGTTCATAAAAAGCTGTCAGTATTAAAAACAAGTGGTCCAATTTTCATCCTTCTTTCTATAAAATAAAAAAGGAGGTGTTTTGTAACAAACATGCGATCCCCCCTTCACAAGATGAGGCCTTCCATAGTACTGGAATCCAATGCAGTGTTCAACTGTTCATTTCTGGTGATAACTGATTGATCAAACCTTCCGACCGTTCCCATCATCACTGCTTCATCATCTCTTCTGGTCAAACCCCGCTATTTCAAACCATTTCCTGGTTGTCTGTGCCCTTGGTGATCAGTGCATGTGATGGTTGACTGCAATCAAACTGTCCAAACCTCATTTTTTTTTGCTGGCGGATCGTTGTCGCCGTGCACCACCGAGCTCACTCGACGCACTGTGTGGGCAGTTTTTCTCGTATAGACATGGGTACCCGATCAACATAGAATTGGTGATTACTGTAAGCAGCGATCACCCCACCCGTATTTATGTGATCAACATCCTTGTTGTAGGTGTACCTCTTGTTGTGACAGTCTGTCAATTTGCCTGTCCACAAAAAAAAACCAGGAAACACAGAAATGGGTAAACAGTTGCTGATTTCTTTCCACAAGTAGATTTTTTTAGGAACTTGTGACAAAGTTCGAGGATTTCTCCAAATCTTTGGTTCAAGTTTAGGATTTTCCACAGCATCTGAAACAAGACAGGTGTGTTGACAAACACATATGCCCCAGCAAGACTGCATGAAATCCATCACCTAAGCATGCCATTGTTCATTTGAGTTTTTGACCTTGAAACTTATTTTTTGCATCCAAACTCAATAGGCTTCTTAGGCTCACTGATTACATGTAATTCCCAAGTTATCGCACTGACAAGATTTGTATTGTTTTAGCCAAGTTGACCTTGAACCTTAATATTTTGCAACCAAATTCAATAGGCTTCTTAGGATCACTGATTACAACCTACATACCAAATTTGAAGTCCACAGGACATGTTATATTTAAGTTATCGCGCTGACAAGATTTGTGGACTCACACCCACCCACACCCACCCACACCCACGTTATATAACTCCTATGGACATTCCTTTCTTTTTCGTGCAGTTAAGAAAATACTTGTTTTTCTCGAACTTGCTTTTGCTTTTTGTACAAGGTTTCCTTGACTATCCCTCTTCCTTTTACAACAGATGACCCCTGCCCCAAAAAGCCTCTAAACCCCTTTTTCAGAGAAGGGGAAACATCCTGTGGACGTGTGCAAGTCCACAGACCATCTTCCTTTCCTGCATCGTGTGGACATCTTTTGTTCACAAGTCCACACTAGGTATGTAAGGTTAGCGCACCCTTTGACTTTGTCAGGGTTGGGGGCATAAAAATCCTCAGGTGGTATCAGTCATTTAAATTAAATATTCAGCCTCTACAAAAAGTTCATATGTTTCAAGCACTCCATCAGTAACATTTCACAACTTCCATGAAAATCCATGTTATTTGGTAGAATATCAGGCTTTTCATGGTGAGGTTTGGTGCATTCGCTGGATTCCAAGGGAATCAAGAACAAATGTGAGACTTGGACAGAACTGAAAGGTCACACACTTGCCCACCCGCCTGCCCTTCATAGTCTTACCTCCTACTGCATGTAAGATTGCCTCTGGAGCACACGTGTCCCACTTCTTGCAGCCGCGACTGGCAAAAATGTAGGCACTGGCTGTACCCTCCAGCAGAAGTATCACCTGGGAGAGGAGAGAGGGAAGGGGCGCAACACTGAGTGAATCTGCCTAGGTCAGACAATGGCAATCAGACTGGGTTCTCAAATTAGTAAAACTAGCATTTCAGTAAAGTCAGGTGCAACTTTGCAAAATAAGCACCGTCCAGTAGCAGTCCTTACGTGATTCAAAAGGTTCTCGTTCCATCACTCAGTGTTCTTGGACATAAAAATGTCGCCAGTTTTGCAGGTTTTTAAGGATATGAACTGCACTTTCAGAGATGCTTATAACCCTAAAAGTCCTCCATCCTACACTTGCTAAAGGATTAAGGACTTTTCTAGTTAAGGTATATTTGTATCTACTACAATGATACAGAATTATTTCTGATGGCAGAGGCCCTTAGTAGAAGAGAATTCCAGCTTAGCAAATGCAGGTTACGCATCAACTGGCAAAATTATTTTCAACCAATTCTTGGCAACACTAAACTCCTCTCCGTGACACTGACCCCAACAATACAAAGAGACTGGTGAGGTAATGACCAGTAAACATGTCCCCTACTCCTAAAACTCCATCATTTGCTGAGCTATCTTACCTTGTGTCCGGCACCCCCAACTCTCAGGATTTCATCCGGCTTCATGGCATCAATGGTCTTCTGCACATCCTCAGTTAAATGCGACCGCGTGGTGGTGATGACCCGCTGTGTCGATTCCTTGTGCTCGAACCCAAAGCCCCCAAGGCCCAGAATGCCCCACATGGTACGCCCCTGCTCCTCCACGGGCGACGTCTTGTAGTTGAAGTACGGCTGGTGTATGACTCCCCCCACTGCAACTCCCTTGACAGCCACACCTATAAGAACAGTGACGTGGTCCAAGAAGCCTGCAAACAGAAGGCAACGATACAAAAGCTATCAGTGTGCAATGATGGAGAAGAGTGGTGTCAGAACCCAACTTACACTGTGTGGTTTATACTTCTTGTGAATCCAAATGTCATGAATGTGACACAAATATGACATTACTGAACATGTGGTAAAATTCATCAGTGTTGAAATGTATTCCAAGACTTATATTGTTTTCAAGTGTTTTCAATACTTTTAGATGTACCAGCACAAATACAGACCCAACTTAGACGGTGTTTGTTATGGAGTAGTGCCACTGGTTCTCTCACATCCAGGATAAAGCATGCACTTCGCATATTTAAATCAACCTGATCTCAACCAAGACGTCACAAAAACAGACAGCCATTCTGGCACACCAGACAGTCTCTAAGAAACTTCCATTTGAGAATATGGAAGCACTGATTTAAAACTTTGATCAAATCACCAGGCTGTAGCCGCAAGCACTTGTACACACACATCTATGTGGAATGGCTGTACTACCAATGGTTGGCTTCAATAGGTGTAGTATTACTTCCAGCCACTACCAATGGCATGCAGCCACAGCCTAGGCCAACATTACTTTTTATGTCTAGCGCCCTCTGGTGGCCACACTTGAAACTCGATATCAGACAGTCGACCAAGTTCAGACAGAGGTTCAGACAGTGCTACCAGCACTGTACAATTCACAGACAAAACGAGGCTGGTGATCTCTTTACATCAGGATGGCCCAAAGTTTGGCACAGAAAGTACTTGCTATAAAGCAAAAATGGGTTACCAGTCAAAATGCCATGCATTCTTATTTGTCATGACTCATTTCCAGCTAATTTTTGCTTAAGGCATAAATCTGCTAAGCATTAATTTCTGCTTCACACCTACATGAAACTGGACCCACATCCTTGATGGCCCTTCTCAAAACTGTGTTTGCTACTGCTAAGGGGCCCTCCTAAAAGCAGATATCACATTCCGGGATTCGTCTATAGGCACCTGATGTCAAAGGGCATTGAGTAACAATGCTAATTCTTATTTCACGGTTACCATTTGGGCTGGCAGAAAGTGAATTGTTTCTTCATTTTTTTCTTCGATACAACTTTTCAAATGTTGAAAAAGTTGACATTCTTACCCTGAGTGTATTCTGTGGTGCCGTCGACAGGATCAACCCATACGACAACCTGCGCACAAAACAAAGGAAACAAATTATATCACGATTGTATCGGACTATTACTACATGTAGGATGCAGTGTTTTTGCCGTGAGTCTCTTTCAGCTCTCTCCTCATCAATTTTACTGGCACTGCTTGCTGACTCCGGAAAGTTTTCTTTTGAGGCAAACATTCACAACTGACAAAGATGGCTATGGATCTGTTCTACTTTGCACACTGAACTTAACACATCTCTTGCACAGAACACATTAACTGGTGCACCCATTCCCTTATAAACTAAAATACATCATCCCACATATTTACACCCAGTAGGGAACTTGTCCCCCCAAAACTTGGGCAAATAGCTGGCCAGAACAACCCTCAAAAACAAACTAGAGGTTGGGTAACCCCTACTCAAACCGAGAGTTTCAAAGCCTGTCTGCCATCGACTGAGGTTGCTTTAACTTCCTCTGAATACCAAGATACAAACACATTTAGGCGTCACATTTTACATCATTGAGGTCAACGTCTTGGTACTCTGGGGGACACTCTACAGCCAACACGTCCTCAGACTCTCCCATCTCTATCTGCCTGTCCTCAATCTTTCCTTCTCCAATTCCTGGAGGGGAAACAGAGAAATGAGAGAAATCAGCTATACAGAGTTTGTACATGTACACGGTACACAGAGCCACCCAAGCAGAGACAATATACCAGTAGTATCACTACAGGTGTATTTGCCCCGAGCAGAAGCATCCCCTTATCGGCTGAAAAGAGCCATATTGGTCACGAGTGTTCATTATGTTGGTAACAATGCGACCGCAACACGTGCATTTCATAGTTGTTACTGAACCAGCAAAGTTCAATTCCAACCAAAGGAGCCTCTCCTTTGGTCAGAAAATTGCACCCTCTCGTGGTCCAGCTGGAGGCTCATGGCTATTACTTAAACAAATACAAAAAACATTATCAAGTATCCATTGGAGCACTTACATGTCAGTAAAAAAAATGTATAGAGATTATGAATACAAGTGACTGACTTTGAGGCAGCACAATTTTGAATATGTGATTATTAAAATTTGTTTGCTGCACATTAACTCTTACAACTTGCAAACAAGTAAAAATTCAACTGTTTTGATTGATATGGAGAACTTTTGCTCAGGCTGTCCTGATTTGCTACAGTGTTCATGCCAAATGCAACTGGAAGTCCTGCACATACATACAGTCGGTTCTCACAAGTGAAATTCCAGTTAGATCTAGCACAATTCATTGGTCCCATCTGAATGGTACATGCACATGTTGCTGAGGAAGTACATGTATTTGATTAAGACAAACACAGACAGAGACAATATGACATTTTGGTTCATATGAATGATTTTTATCAACCAACTGTAGGGAAAGGTGACATTTACAACCCAATTACAATCGACCTTTTTTGAAACTGCAAAGGCAAGACAAACTTGCATGGTTTACGACTCTGCTTATCTGTACAACTATAAACATTTTGGCAAGGCCCTGTGGATTTCATACAAAGGGAAATCATCTGTACATACCGATAAGCATGTCAGACATTTGAACCTGATGAGGGAAAGTACATGTATCTTTGGACTGGAGTCTGCATTCTTGCCATCCTAAGCCTACAGTCAGGCAATGGGAGGCTTGGATAGGGTGAAATACCCCGTTCAACTTTACCAAAAGCAGAACAGATGGACTGCACACATGCCAGATGGCCAAATTACAATTCACATGAGTAGCAATGAAAAGAACAATTACAGATGTAATGATCAATTTAAAAAAAAAACGTTAGATTTCTTAGTTTGAGAGGTAGACAAAATAATCTTTTTCAAAATTACCTCTTCTCCAATGACTGTAATTCCAGGGAATCTTGTTATCAGTGAGGCTACGATGCAATGCTGTGCTCTCCTATCTGCCTCAGTCTGCGGGTCAAAGATACCTTCCCCACCCTGTAGCACAAATAAAACACAAAGAGATGCCTGGAAATGCCAAACTTTAAACGTCCACAGCTTTTCTGATACTTGTATTCCTCATGTACATCTGATCATAGCTAGCTATTTGTCGTATCTTCCTTTACCAACCGAGAAAGGAAAACTATTAAAAAATTTATCTCTTAAAGGTAAAAACTGAGGAAAGTGGCATGCGCAGCACACCTTCGGAAGAGTGTAGGCTTCAGTGATGCTATAATTTGAATTGGTTCCTGCTATCATGGTTTTTGCAGGTTTCAAGCTTTGATCATTGACAGACCCCTCTCATAGACAGCCATCTCCATGTGAAAATGCAGCTGCGTGTGTAATTTCATCAGGTGCGTAGGCTCACAGTGTGCAATTTGTTCCACAAGCTCCCATGTTACTTCAAATTTCTCTGACATGCAGCACAGCCCATGCACGTGTAGTCACGAAAATTTGGATGCAACAAATGTTGATGCATGTGACACTCTGTAGGAAGTGATGTCACGTGAGAGAGACTGACTGGAACTCCAGAGAAAGTAAAGGCCTATAACAGAAGAGAACATTCAACATAGTTCAACATTCACTCAAATTCCCTGTACTTCAACTTTCCGGAGAGCGCTAAGCCCCAGGAGTAAAAATTAATGACAGAATTAAGACTGTAGCATCATCAATCCTGCAAAATCCTCTTGTTGGGCGTCGAAGCACTTGGATGGCTAGGGCTAATCAGAAACAAAAACCACGACACTGCCACGAAATACTCAGCTTTCCAATGTATCAGGAGTCCATCAAGACAGATGAAGCTCTAGTTTGTGTGCGAAGGTCTGGCAGTGCAAATGAGCAAGACAATGCTAAAACCTGATGACTGTTGCCAGTGCATGTAAAACAGAGTGAAGCTTTACAGGTGTCAGAACATAAACATGTACATGTACATGTATACATACCAGTACCAGTACGCATTTGAGTGGGGTTTATGGAAATATCAATACAAACACTTCATTTCAGTCCGATAAGAGTATTGATCAAAAGAATTGATTGCGTTTCGTAAGACAAACATTCATATACACAATTTGCAACGAAATAACTACATCAAGAGCTAGTTTCTACTCAAGATGCATCTACATATATACACATACAGGTACACCTATGTATGTACACACTGCAGAATAAAATTATGCCCTTATGCCAGTTTTTGTGGATTTAGTTTATGTGCTCCTAACTTGCTGGTGGAAATGCATTTAACCCTAACCTTCCCCAACCAGAATTAAACAGTAGTAAAGTGTCTATTTCTGTGGGGATAGGTCTGGTAGGCCCAGACAGCTGGCTTTTGCACTGGGTTTGGCATACCTCAGAAAAACAAAGTCCAACAGCCTCTGTGCACAAAGTCCCATACAGGTGTTTAACTTTGTGTGAATGGGGAAGGTTAGGTCCAGCATCCCTTGGGTAGTTAGGGTTAATGAACAGTTTTAATGTTGACACTGCTGCCGATTGAATCTCTGAAGCAGAAGTTCCAATACAACAGTGACACATGCAAAAGCAATGTGTACGGCTAATCTGTGTACACAACCGAATCTTTAAACATATGGTACATTTATCTTCGGTTGGTTTCTTGGCGGTTATTTCTGCAGACAGTATTTAATTTACAATAGACGTCACAAAGTGCAAGATTATTCCAACTTCGTAAATATATACATTCCTGGCATTTTCACAACCTTGTTTGGGCAGTAAATATTTATCAGATACGGGGCGAATATATGTCTGTCAATGAGAACTGTAGAAGGACCACTGAAATTTACTTCTAAAATTACTCCATAAATAAACTGCACAGAGCTGCAGAGCTTGACCATAGTCCTTTCTGACAAAGAAAATTTTGGAGTCTTTATTCTAGAATCTGTACTCCGAAGAACCCATTTACCCTGTAAATGTACATGCAGACCAGAAAGTAAAACCTACTGGTATATTATTTGAATGGGGTTTCTGAAGAAGAAGTGACCAATTCTGCAGAAAGTGAGAGAAAATGAATGTTAAAAGTTGTACCCCTGAACATTTCTAATGGGCAAGCTCACGCTCTTTCCCTCAATGGCCATTTATGTGCATGCGAGCGTACATGTACCCAGTACATGTGTACACGTAATAACAAATTTATTTGATAGTGAAATGGTCTACGGTCCAGAATTTGGATGCCTGGTTTCAATACATGCCCCAAAGCATCCATTCAAAATTGGCCAATGGCATGTTCTTTGTACTACATTGGGGGTCAAAATTAATGGTGATCCTCTGGCCTGGGGCCACCAAAAAACTCATCAGGCCACTGCATTCTCCCAAAACGATGGCCCAGAGGGACAGTGGTCATTTGAGGAACATTGCCAAATTTTCACAACTTTCATGACATTTTACGACGTGTGTTTCAAATTACCGGTGAAGGACTTCTGAGTTCACAGTATAATTTTATAGTCCACGTGGCCGGGTTCATGTGCCACATGTACACATAGCGGCATGACATTCTGTTCACTGCATGGTCGTGCATGTAGCTCATACACGTGCAGCAGGTGCCTCCCTGGTATGTTGGCTGGTATCATTTTCTAACAATGCCAGTTTAACATTATCTCCCACGGACACCAATGAAACCTTTACAGGTTGCATCACGTCAAGTCCGATTGTCAAGTACAAGCAAAATCAACCTCCAATTAAATTTGCGACATCATTTTTTTTTTTATGTGCAGCTGTAGAGTTGCATGTGTGTACAGTGAATTGTACAATGCTATTTTGACCGGGATGCATGGACTAGTTGCCACATTACCATCACTTCTTCTTTGGCAGTGGCACGGCGCAGCAGGAACCAGTGAAGCCTTGCTTCTGTATGTATGCATCGAGCAATATTTGCGTGTGTGTTTCCACCACCACCATAGTGAAATGCGAAGGGAACTTGGGAAAATAACACAACTGTCTTTCCAAATGTTGCAAATGTAAGCAGGCAAACAAAAAATACAAGCCTTTAGATGTGAAAACATTTTTGAGAAGTGTTTTGTGAAGATAGGAAAGACATTTTCTTTTTCCTTTTTAAAAATTTTTAAATGTGTCTTCTGGCTTACATGTATAAATTTTATGGTTGTGCCAAAAATTTAGGATCAGTCGCATAACTAGAAGCAGAACTAGGCTGGCCAATCAGCTGTTTTGGTAGAGAAGTTCAACTGATGCAAATGGGCATGTGTGGTGGACCTGATCAATTTCATTACATGTACTCAATCCGGGCCACCAACTTTTCACAAGGGCCAGTGCGGTGCACTTCCCTCTGGCCCTGCAGGCCACCAAGAGACGGAAGTTAATTTCAACCCCTGCAATATAATCAGTTTTATGCACCAGTACAAATCCATTTTTTTAAAGCTCAGCAGCAAACCTACTGATAAATACTTTTGTATTACTCTGTTGAAACTCAAGGAATGCCGAGGCAGATTTTTTTCTGTGTAAAAATCTGAAAAACAAATACGATCCTAGAGGTTTACTTGATCCTACAGATTGAGTATGCATATCTGTGCATGCCTAGGGAATTTGACTACTTAAAATTGACAACTCTCACCCATTCAGCAAATGAAATTCAAGTGCCATTACACAGCATTCTACACTCCATCAAAGAGGAAGAAAGAGGGTGAAAATCTATACATGTATTCAGTAACAGCCACGGAATGGTCATTATCTGAATACATAAATATATTAGAGGGCAATTTTATGAATCATGCCAAGCTGACAGCGTCATGAAATGGGAGCTGTACAAGTGATGACGTACATAGCAGCAACGACAGGCTGGCTGCACAGGGCAATGAACTGTCACCAATGCTACACTGCGGACCAGCTAACAGCGCATGTGCTATGTCACATACATGTCACATATCACGTACATATATTTTATTAACAAGTAGAGCACCAGTTTTCAAGAAATATCTATAAGTGACCACAAAGTTGCAGGATTTCACAGGTGTTGTCCTGCAAAAGCAAGGATGGGTGTCTGTCATGTTGAAAATGAATAAGATGATGGAGTCACTTCTAGCCCAGAATATCAAGTCTAACATGTACTCACACACACAAAATACTGTTAACCACTTTCTGCCAGATGCTTTTAAAAATGCAGTGCCTACATGCGGCAATTTCCCGATATCTTCGATCTTTTTTTCCTTAACCACTTCGCGCTGGGTGGCAGTTATCAATGTTGATGATGCTGGGGCGGGACAATTATCATTTTTTTTCTAATTTCAAAATTCTTTAAATATTCCTACCTTCGTTTACTGGACACTTACACCCACACGTAGGACTGTCAGGTTTCTACCCTAATTTGACAGACAACATCTATTGACACTGGAATAATTCAGCCAGGCCTGAAGCCTTGTAAAAAGAGCCAGAAAAACGTAGGAAACACCAGGTAACAAAGACTTTGCACCTCATTGGTGAAATCATGAAATTCAGACGGCTACCTCAATCACTTCAAATCCCAACAGCTATGCTCTAATGAACCTTTTGGGGGCACTTTTAGATGATGTTGTCTCACTGGACAATGAAGATTTTTTAATCATTCTACAACATCAATTCAACAACATTCATGAAAGTACATGTAGCAGTCAGCACAAGTGGCAATGTACAGCAATACCAACCAGTATGTCCATGTTGCCAAGTCTTTAGTGCATGGTGCAACATAACCACATCCACTGTTGCTTTCTCTTGCATTTTGTTGCAGTCTCATTACAGACACACTGGATTTGGTTGCATTCACCGAGTACTGATGGCAATAAGGGGTTTTATGTACTTGTACTTCTTTTCATCGCTTCTGCATTGTAGACTTGAACAAATATATTTTGTGTGTTGTAAATTTTATCGCAAAATGATCAAATTATTTAAGCAGTGAATCTGGCAATGGATTGTCCCGTGCTCATTTTAGGTGTGGTGCAGAAAGGATAGCCTTACTGCAGATAATACCTCAGTCTGGAGTATTACCATATTTGGACAGCCTA